CTGAAGTTGTAGACGAGGCACGGTCATACTGTTTGGTTTATTGCCTTAACTAGCAATACCAACAACAACGTTATGTGCATTCGTCACAAAGTGACGACACATAGCAGTGGGAAATGTATTGTAGTTGTCTGTAAATGCCTTGTTGACCACGAAGTCAGGCGCCAACGAAACGAACTTCTCATTGGGGTCGTATCGCTGGTAACGTAAGAAAGGTTTGAAAGGTTTTTTGTAAAGAAGTTATTAATAGCTTCTGGGGAGAATATCCCAACAAAAAACTAAGGGAACTGATGAGGATCAGTGGCGAGATCCGAAACTATAGTCTTCCCTGCCTTACCCCTCGGCGGACAATGCCATACATTCCCCACTAATAAATAGTTGTTTTTTATAAAAACAACAAACTGGGATTAAGCCTGACTATTTTGCAAAAACAAATATTTGGACCCATTTGATCAAATTTATGATTTTGAAATCATTATTCATTCATTATTCATATGCATATTTTTTTCTATTCTATTATCATCGTTCATACTTACAAATTGATCCCCAATCAAAAAGCCTACAATCGATCATGACAACTATGAATATTATGGTTAATCATAAAAAGACTATTTAATTGCCCACATCTCTAATAAAAATCTAATGAAAAAGTTAGAAAACTTTTAAATAATTTGTCTTATAAATGATGAAAATTTAACGCACATTCATACGCACGCTACAGACGCTTCTAATAAGCTGCCGGTTGTTTCCAAGCGGACTATTTTTCTTTTATTTTAAAATATTTTTTATGGACTAATTGATTCTAATTGAAGAAGCACCATCGCCAACAAGTGACTAGCCACCATCATCAACGACAGCAGCCACCGGCATAGCGCAATTTCATTTCAATAAATCCCAATTTGAAGATACAGTTCAATCAAAAACAATTAATATAATTTACGAACTTTGATGGCATACAAAAAATTATTTTGTAATATTGAAATGTTAAGAAAAAACGACAACATAGCGAGGTTTGCGTGGATGTACAAATATATATGTATATTTTCACGAAAAAGCAAGATGTATAATGGAAACCCCAAAATAGTCAGACTGAATCCCAGTTTGTTGTTTTTATAAAAAACAACAATTTTTTAGTGGGGAATGTATGGCATTGTTTGCCGAGGGGTAAGGCAGGGAAGACTATAGTTTCGGATCACGCCACTGATCCTCATCAGTTCCCTTAGTCTTTTGTTGGGATATTCTCCCCAGAAGCTATTGCTTCTATACAAAAAACCTTTCATACCCAAATGTCTCTTGTAACAAAGCGAAGTACTTAGCTGACCAACGACATAAACTGCATGAGAATTTCGCTGGAGCCTCACTTCGAGGTTAACAAGGCATTTACAAACAATACCACACCTTTCCCACTGTTGTGTGTTGTCACATCGCGACAAATGCACACAACGACTTTGTTGGTGTTGCTAGTGTACAGCAACAAAAACAACAAACTGGGATTCAGCCTGACTATTTTGCAAAAACAAAATACAAATGGTATCCCAAATAAACCGCCAACACTACTAAAGAATTAATGTTGCTGGATACTTGTGGCATAATCAACAAGATGAAACCTAATATCTATGAAAGACAACTTGAGCAGGAAATTTTCTCCATACCGATATTGAAAAACTTTTTTTTTTAATTTTGTTGTAGAAAGCAGTTTAGAATATAATAGAGTTGAAAAGAATGAGAGGCCCAATATTATTATTCGTGCAAAACCTTCTGAGAAGGTAACAATTTTGGTTTCTGAAGAAAAAAATAAGATGTTTTCCTTGAAGAACAACTCACCAATCTCTAAGAAAAAGTTTATAATCTTCTTGCAAGTAGCATTTTTCCTGGAAAGGGAAAGAGTTTCACCAGTAAAGCTTTAGCCTCATTAATTTGTCATTCCTCTCTACCACCATACAACGCTGCTCAACATGAGGTTTTAGAACAAGTGCGTCTCTTCGAAATATATTCATTGATAAGGGTATTTAAATTCAACCCGAAATCTCTTATAGTAGATTGCGACAACATGAAAATTATTTTGTGCATTATTTTAGAAAGAGTGGCGCAGGAAGGACCTCAAGGTCTTTGCAGTTTGACTAATAGTACCTTTACATTTAACCGGATTACGTTAACCCAGTGGGTTTTCAATGTCAATTCCTTTGCGTATATCATGCCACAATAAACAGGTAGTCCATTTAGCGCAGCTGATATCTCAACTGTCAAAGTGGTTAATTTTACTTGAATTCGATGTGCAAAGTTGCCAACCATGTGAAATATTATAAGGAAACATTTGACAGATAATCGAGAAAAAACAAATATTTTCGTTTTGATACATCATGGCGTATACGTCAAATAAATCCTCATACAGCAGGTTAACCCGATAAAAAGGTCTAATGTATATGCCGTTTAACTTACCTGTTTACCATTTTTACTCGGCCAAATTTCTTGAGTAAAAAGTTTACAAAAAGAACGCCATTTTGTTTTGTGCTCTCTTAAATTTGATTCAATGTTTTACTAGTTTTGTGGGTTGAGGCACGGTTTTCGAGTAAAAAGTTGCAAAACATGTAAAAAGTTGCTATAATTTATAAAACATGTAAACCTTTTTTTGAATAAAAATGCTGTAAAATTTTTAATAATATTCAAATTTTTATAGGGTATTTTCACACATAATCGAAGATAAAAATTATAAATATTTTCCATATATATAATTTTTACAATTTTTTAAAGTTATTACCTACGTAGATCAATAACCTATAATTTATAAAAAATGCCGTTTTTTATTTTAAATTTAAGAGATGGAGGTAAGTCCTGATTTATATTAGGCGAGTTTACTTGCGGCAATTATTATCGTTCCCTTTTGAACATGCTTCATGCGTCTATACAAGGCAATTCGGTTTCGAAAATATTTCTTTTTTCATTTGATGTCAATAGTTTTTCACATTTAAATAAATATAAAATATCAACAAATACGAAATACACAAAACGAATTGCCAGAAAATTGTCGGTACGAGCAATTTTTTTCCATTTCTATTCCCCTTGCCCCTCTCTCCAACAAAGACTTGCCGCAAGTAAACTCGCCTAATCTAAATTAAGACTAACTTCTGAGATTTGTACTTAAAAAGGAATTTAATAGCATGTTACCATTGCATGTAATTATTTACATTTGTCACCGATCCGGTTCACAGTATTATTTATTTATAAAAGTGTAGAATAATGCCAAACTATTTAAGACTGAATGTCAGATGCTGGTCATGCACCAGCTGATCAGTAGAATTTGTCTACAGGAATGCATGTTCAGTTATTGGACTCTGCACTCTGTGTCCCGTGTACAAAAAAGGAGAAAAGATATAATGTGTTATCCAACGTGATGTGTGAACGACTGAAGCTATGCGGCTTCAGACCTGGCAAATCCACAACTGACCAGATTTTCACTCTGCGCCAAATCCTGGAAAAACACATCGATACATTCCACCTATTCGTCGACTATAAAACCGCATTCGACAGCCCTATATATCCAGATGAGTTTAAAGCCATGTTTGCGTTCGGAATTCCTGCAAAATTATAACGACTATAGAGGATAACTTTAACTGACACATAGTCCGCAGTTAAAGTCCGAAATGACCTATCGAAGCCCTTTAATACCGAGCGAGTATTCAGACAGGGTGACAGTTTGTCGAGTGATATTTATACAATTCTGCTGGAAAAGGTCATACGAGAAGCAAAGATGAACAGAAATGACATTCTGTTCATCATACAACACTTGTTACTCACCTACGCCGATGACATCGATATAATGGGTCGAACATTGCGAGCGGTAACAGCCAAGTTTGACCAATTTGTGAACGTAGGTATGGCAATAAATGGCGAGAAGACCAAGCTGATGGTATCAACGCGCAAGACGTCCACTAGACTCGGACCAACTGTGGAACTTGGAAACTACAGCTTCGTGGTAGTTAAATATTTTATGTACCTCGGTATGGCCATAAATAAAACTAATGACATCAGTTTAGAAACAAGACCACATCCCGCCAAACCAAACTCACACTCTACAAGACGCTGATACTACCCGCGCTGTTATATGTATCTGAAGCATGGAAACTTGCGCAAACAGATGAGACAGCCCTTGGAGTGTTTGAGAAAAATTTTCCCGGAAGATCTGTGGGCTGATATGCGTTGACAATGAATATCTCCGTCAAATGAACCATGAAGTTGTACCATCTATTCTCGGACATCGGCAATGTCAGACTTATCGAACTGCAGCGACTACAATGGCTAGGTTATGTTGTGCAAATGGATGAAGATGCCCCAGGACAAAAGGCATATAAAAGCGAGCGAACTGATGACTCACGCAGAAGGGGTAAGGCCACGAATTAGATGGAAAGATCAAGTGGAAGAAAACATTTCGAAACCTGGAAATATTTTTTTTTAAGCTTGGCTTATGGAACAAATGTTCTTCCACAAGCCAGCTAAGTAGGAAAGACTAAAGTTAAACGGTACCACACATTATTCAGAATTTTTAGGGATTCCCAATGTCTTCCAGCCTAAAATTTACCACGACACATATATTTGCAAGAGCTATTTCGCGCCATTTACACATATTTCTGATAATATTAAAAAAAAAAAAAACAATGAAGCGACGCAGTTGCCCTCCGATAACAATTTTTCCCTCTTATAGGCAACGGCGATGCCTTTTCACTATACCTCGCCTTTGATGTTGCTTTTTGTGTGAAAATCAGCTGTTTAGGAAAACCATTGGTTCTCTCATGCGACGTTCATCACATCTCATTCGTAAATATTTGTCTGTTCGCTTTGTTTCCCTCTTTATCAGATATTCTCTCTCTCTCTGGTTGCACCGGGAACGTTTTTAATTTAGTATTTGGGATTTCGTAGCGAGCAACTGTGCACTCATTAGAAAAAATGTTATTGGCTAGAGAAGGAAAACAATTTGCCGGTAAGTAAAATTGCAATGTAATGCCTAAATGGGCACACCGAATATGCCTCATTTAAATAATGCTCCCCTCTTCTTGTTATTGTCCAAAGGTCTTTCAAAGACTTTCACAAAGTGGGTCAACTTCAGTACGATCGCTAGAAATGATGTAAAACCCAAGACAGCTGTGCTAATGTTGAATATGGGTGGTCCTCAGACCACTGATCAGGTTCATGATTATCTGTTGCGTATCATGACCGATCGTGATATGATCCAATTGCCGGTACAGAGTAAATTGGGACCATGGATTGCACAGCGACGTACACCGGAAGTACAAAAGAAATACAAAGAAATTGGTGGCGGTTCACCGATATTGAAATGGACCGAATTGCAGGGAGAATTAATGTGCAAGGAATTGGATCGCATATCACCGGAAACGGCACCACATAAACATTACGTTGGATTTCGTTACGTCAATCCATTGACGGAGAATACACTGCAACAGATAGAGAAGTATGTAGGAACTGGAAAGAAAATTTTAATTTCACAATGCATGGCAGCCATACACAGTATAAACGTAATATGTAATATAATTTTTATTTTTTTAAGGGATGGTCCAGAACGTTTGGTCTTATTTTCACAATATCCACAGTATAGCTGTGCCACATCCGGTTCCAGTTTTAATTCCATTTATCAATATTATAAAAACAAGTAAGTAATTTGAGTTTTCTCTAATAAATTGGGTTTTTTTAATAACTGTTTTTTTTTTTTTTATTTTCCAGCAACCTGCCCTCAAACATTAAGTGGAGTGTCATAGACCGTTGGGGCAGCAATCCTTTGCTGGTGAAAACATTTGCAGATCGTATACGCGAAGAATTGGATAAGTTCTGTGAAACTAAACGAAAAAATGTGGTTATATTGTTCACAGCCCATTCATTGCCCTTAAAGGCAGTAAATCGTGGCGATCCTTATCCAGCTGAAATTGGTGCTTCCGTACAAATGGTCATGCAAGAGCTGGGATATTGCAATCCCTATAGTTTGGCATGGCAATCCAAAGTGGGACCACTGCCATGGTTGGCACCAGCTACAGATGATGCCATTAAGGTGAGAGACATATATTTATGGAAATAATTTAATTTGTATTTTTTATTATTGTTGTTGTGTTGTTGATTTTATCACAATTTAGGGTTATGTAAAACAAGGACTGAAAAATTTCATTTTGGTTCCAATTGCATTTGTTAATGAACACATTGAAACGCTGCATGAACTGGATATTGAATATTGTGATGAATTGGCCAAGGAGGTGAGTAAAACCAAAATACAAATTCTAACAATTCTCTAGAAAGGTTTGGGCCTTGGATGATTTACTTTACTGTCCTAACAAGGATAATATTGCTAAGAACTCAATTAATCCGTTTCATAACTTTTACGTTTCTGCTCAATCGACTAGAATTAAATCTTTATTATGTTTTAGTTGGTGCTAACCTTCTAAAATAATTAAAAATTTGATTGCTGTCAGAAAATACAGTTGTAGCAAAAATCGTCATTCCTAACAAGGCTAAGAGTTCAACTTGCTCTGTTTATTACCTTTAGGTTTTTGGTCAATTAATTTTGTTTGCATTTTCCTCATAGAGATCATTGGCAGTCCTTACTAATCGATTTCTTTGAATTCCCATTTTTCTAGGTTGGAGTTGAAGAAATACGCCGTGCCGCCACACCGAACGATCATCCGTTGTTTATCAAAGCCTTAAGTACCATTGTGGCTGATCACCTGAAGAACGGTGATAAGGTAAATCCGAAATTCCTTATGCGCTGCCCCATGTGTGTTAATCCTCGTTGCCGTGAAAGCAAGAATTGGTATAAGAATATTTGTTCACGTTAAACCAACCACTTTGAAAGACATTCTTTATTATTTTTAAATATAAGTTATCACGCCGTTACTGTGAATGTGTTTTGAAGCAGAGAAAACACAATAAACCCCATATGAAATATATCACGGAAAATAATAATTATGTTTTTATTCCACAAAAGGTTCGGGAAAATTGTGAAATAATCACGTTCGACTGTGATATGTTTTAGAAGCAACAATTTGAACAATTTATAAAAATACGATATGGTAGTGTTTAAATAATTGCGGAAATATACCATCATCCTGCAGAACTCTTTCTATGACGATTTAGACATGTCCGTCTGACTGTTGCGCAATCACTCTTAGCCTCCAAATGGATTTAAATAGATTGCCAAAATTTAGCATAGAGTATACGTTTGTCTGCAAGTACGACAAGTTCGATAATGGTCCATAAGCATAGTCCTCACCTAGCGGAAGCGAACATTCGCGAGAGATTGAAAATGCTTGTTCATTCATTGTAACTTTATTATTCGCGATAAATTGAAAACATTCGAATTCTCGCCGTGAGTTTTGCGGTATTGTTAGTGTTTTTATCTCGATCTCGGACAAGTTTTTCGATCGAATTGACTGTAATTTTTAATGATTGGTTATAAGTTGGGTGCCAAATCTTCCTGCAAAAAAATTATCAACATTGGTCAATTTTCAAATTTGTTGTTGTTTCGTGTATCCCCCATATAATAGTACCCCCAATTTTTGGTCATTTTTCAACCGAATTCATTGTAATTCGGCACATTGGTTCCTTATTGGGTAACAATTCTCCACACTAAATATCAAAATCCGTTTATTTTTTCGCGTATCCCCCAATAAAGGTTACCACAAATTTTCGGATTTCGGAGAGTTTGGGCATATTTTTAACCGAAATGGTTGTAATTCGGTATTTTGAATTTTCAATTGATACAAAAGCTCTCTAAGAAAAATGATCAATATTGATCCACTTTTTGGGGTAGCCCCCATATAACGTTTGTCCCCCAAAATATGCGGATCTCGGACAAGTTTTTCGATCAAATTGACTGATTGGTTATAATTGGTTGCCGAATTTTCCTGCCAAAAATTATCAATATTTGTCAACTTTCAAATTTTTTCGTGTATCCCCTATGTAATCGGTACTTTGGGGATTTTGAGGGCATTTTTCAACCGAATTCCCTGTCATTCGGCACTTTGTATTCTTTTTGGCTACCAAATCTCGACACTAAAAATTATCAAAATACGTTCATTTTTTGGGGATCACCCATACAAATGTACCCCCCCCCCCCCCATTTTTGGATTTTGGAGAGTTTGTGCACGTTTCTTAACGGAAATAGTTGTAATTCGATATTTGGAACTCTCAACGAAAGCTCTCTACGAAAAATTATCAATATTGATCCACTTTATGGGGGTGGCGACCATAAAACGTTATCCCCACAATATGCGGATCTTGAGTTTTTCGATCGAATTGAATGTGATTTCGAATGTTTGGTTATAATTGGTTGCAAAATCTTCCTGCTAAAAATTATAATGGTCGATTTTTTTTCGGGTGGCCTCCACATAAAGGTATTGTGGGGCTTTTAGCACGTTTTCAGCCGAATTTGTTTTTATTGGGTAACAAATCTCCACCTTAAAAATTATCAAAATCGGTAAATTTTTTTGGGTAGCCCCTACATAAAGGTAACCCAACTTCATCTTTCCATCTAATTCGTGGCCTTCACCTTCTGCGTGAGCCATCGGTAGGCTCACTTTTATATACCTTTGTGATCCATACAACAACGCGGGTAGTTTCAGTGTCTTGAAATAAATTGCTTACTATGGTAAAATAGTAGTATTTCAATCAACAATATCCTTCTCCGAATCTCAAAACTGATCTCATTTATTTTGTTAATGGCTCTATCGTGGTATATAAAATCTATGAATACCCCAAAGCTGTAGTTTTCAAGTTCCACATTTGATTCCAGTCTACTGGACATGCTGCGCGTTGATACCATTAGTTGACCATTGACTTCGTTTGCGGATATTTCCATATTCGTCCTATGGACGAAGATGTCATCAATTTTTGACCCTGTTGGTTTTATAGGAAAGTACATTGATCGGAAGACTGAAAGTTTGTTGACTAATAATTTTTTTTGGTCCTTGACAAAATGGTGTATGAACGCTAGGATGGTACACATAATCGATTGATGATAGATAGCTGTCGCTGAGCTGACATCCATTTCTGACCAGGTTCAAACCATATCGTTTCGTATCATAGATACTTTATTAATACAACTGTCGCCGTGGGAACGAATAGAAAATATTGTGCTGTAGCAGCAGTCTATCTATTATGTTCTGATCTTGTTACATACATATTTTCCATGCAAAATAAAAAAGAAACTCTAATGTTATAGATTAATAAATAAATACGTTTCAGTTGATTTTTTTATTTTATTGTTTGTTCTTTTTTTATACATAAAACGCATTCATTTTTTCGTTTTGTTGTTGTTGTTTTTTTAATTAGTTTTCTATTTCAGTTTTTTATTTTCATATTTTTAACGCTAAAAATGGCGTTTATTAAATATAAAGATTGGTTGTTTGTTTTATGGATCAGTGAGAGCTTTTGCTTCGATTTGTTTTTGTTTGTTTGTCATCGTTTGTTTTCTTCTTCATCTTCTTTCTAACTTCATCCTAAGTTTTATATATATATATACTTTTTTTTTTTTTGTTTTAATAAAATAAATTATCATCATTATTTCAACAATAAATTTATATACGTTTTGTATTATTATTATAGATTTTTTTTTTTGGATTTTTTAAGAGATTAAAATCCCAGTCATTTTGTTTTTGCTTTCGGCAAAATACCAACAACAACCAACGCTTTGTTGGTTGGTTTGGGGGTTGTTGGGTTTTTTTCTGGTTTTCTGGAGTTGTTTCTTAATGTTAGAATAGATTTTCGTCTATGGTTTTTAGCCATATCTTGTTAATCGTATTGAATTCTTGGTGTTTTGGTTGCCTCACACAAATGTTGCTTTGTTTATTTTATTTTTTTTTTTGATACATAAATATGATTTGTTTTTTTGTTGTAGAAAAAATAATTTATGTTTTTTTTTGTTTAGTTAATAATAAATTGTATTCTTGGTTTTTCTTTTGTTTTGCTTTTCACATATTCATTTTCCATTTGCTAAGCAAAGAAGAAATGAGACGATAACGACAATTTGTTTCTTTGTTTGTTTTTCTTTCGAGGGCAGGGGCAAAAAAGGACGAAGTGATAGGATATATTTCTTATTTAACTCTTTTCCTTCTCATCATCATCATTGCTGTCAATCACTTAATGATTTATGGTTTGTTTGTTGAGTTTCTTTGTTTTTTTATAATAAAGTTATTTTATTTATTATTATTTTTTTTTCCAATTTGTTTTGTTTTTTTGTTTTTTTATTATAATTATTCTTGTTTTATTTTAAATATAATTTAATTAACAACGACCTAACTTCTATGGTTTTTTATGTTTTGAGATTGTAAGCGAATATTACAAGATATACGACAACATTTCTACGTTAGTAGGATGATGGAGAGTGTATGTGTGTGTTGGTGTGTGAAGGAGGAGTTGAAGGTTTATGGGCTGAGAGCAGTTGAAGGTAGTATAAGCTTTCGACAGGTTCCCACCAACAGTTGTTGTCGGCTTTTTTTTTTTTTTTGTCGAGTTGTCTTCTCAAAATTATCTATTTTGCTTCTGACACGAAATAGATTTTTACTTATCAATTTTTTTCTTTCTTTCTTTCGACTCTCCTTTTAAGACTATTTGGAGTTAAATGACAGACAGTGGAATATGTTGAAATGGAGTTAAATGTGATTACTGCGACGGTGGCGGACGGGTGATTAAATATGCAGGTGGTGTTTGTATGGTAGTGGTAGTGAGTGACATGTGTTGTTGTTTGTGTCTTTTAATCATATATTGTCATGTATTATTCGCAAACAATCAAGGAATATAGCGAGAGATTTTTTTTCGTGTGTGTATGTGATATTTGCACTCACTACTCACACACACACATATTTTACTATATATATAAGAAATATATATATTGATTGTTGGGTTTTAGAGTTGATCATTACAAGCACACACACACTCTCATTCACATACAAATGGAATAGTTTAGATTCATGAAGATGTCAATTATTTTATGCGTATGCTGCTGCTGGTCAGGTGTGTGTGTGTGAGTGTATAGATGTGGCGGAAGGAAGTGTTGGGGGGTGGGAGGAGTGGCGGTTGTATACAGCAGTTTGCATGTTGTTCCAAAGAGTGTGTGGATAGAAAATTTTGTTTGGGACTGCTACCAAAAACTTGAAATGAATTGTTCTCTCGCCTTTCGCTATCTCTCTCGCTGTGTTGTTCGCTATCTTATCCTTAATAATTAGAGTTATACATCACGTTAATTCATTAGCAGCAGCTGCAGTATCATCATTTGTTGCAACCCTCACCACCATCACTATCATCACACACAAACAAACAAATGTACATCAGTGTGTTGGTGTGTGTGAGAGTGAGTGCAGCACTCCTTCCTTATTAAATATATATCGCGCGTTGTCTTCTTGTTTTCTGTTGCTGTTGTTGTTGTTTGGAACTTAACAAAGTTGTTGCAGTTGTTGTTTAAAAAACATGCCAGTTTAAAAGCTTCATTGGGTTTGATATTGTGGCAATGCAGCACTATACATCATCTGTGGTCCCAGTGAACCATTTGCTGCTGCTGTGGCTGCTGCCGCTGTCACACCGGGAACCACTGTTCCGGGTACACCCCAGGCAACATTTGGTTGAACCATTCTATAACCGGTGGCTGTAACAAAATTTACATACACACAGTGGATGAGAAATATGTTAAGGTTTTTTTAACCAAATTTACTTACCCATGCCTCCCGCCTGTTGCGTACTTGCGGCATAGGCATAAGGATAATAGCCTTGTTGCATATATTGTGTTTGCATTTGCGCTGCCGGATAACCCTGAAAAACAAAACAAATCGCATTAAAAATCATATGGCATTAGTTCGAAACATTTCTGGCAATTTTTTGCGACAAACCAAATCCAATTAGGACCTTAAAAAAACCATAAAATAGGACGTGGACTACGTTCTCCTTGATAAATGTGAAACCACTACAGTCACATCGTTTGGAAAATTAAACTAGCGTCTTTAAAAATTTGATTCACCAGTAAAAATTTGAAACAATTTCGAACTTATTTTTAAATATGAGATAGTTCCAAATATTTCTGGAAGGACTTAATGACAAGTTTTTTTGAAAGACACCAAATCAAAAAAAGACGTGAGAACATGACATGTTCCACAAGGAGGTTTATTATCTGTACTTAATTCAGTACACTATGCAAAATTATGTCTCAATCGGACCAATATTGGGAGGGAGTTTGGAAAACTATATATGAGAGCTATATCTAAATCTGAACCGATTTCAACAAAACTTGGCATATAACAATCTAGACCTAATTAAGTACTCTGTACAAAACTTTGTCTCAATCGGACCAATTTTGGGAATTTGGTGCACCATTTACTTAAAATCGAACGAAACTTTATATGGAAGCAATATTTAAATCTGAACCGAACCAATTTGGAAAATTAGATTAAAATCATGGGCCCACATCAAAACATTTTCTACGAGAAGATTTTAGCTTCAGTTGAAAAATGACCTTAAAATTTCGACAATTTGGCGGTACGGTTAATTGGGAGCTATTCCTAAATGTATTCCTATAAGTATTTGAAATGTTTGCGCAAATTTTGCAAAGCTCAATTAAAATATTGCGAACACAATTAAAATATGGTTTCAACACGGGGTTACTCGACAAGAAATGTTACTCAGATCTATAATACATTATACTGGAGAATATAACTAGGCAGAATCTGATTGATAGACTACCAACGGAGTCTGAGTGAGGTACATAATTTCATAACGAACTGGTTAACCTTTTTTTGGAAAAATAAAATATTAAAATCAATGCAGGATTCTTACGAGGATTGGATTCCTTATTTATAAATTGAATTTTAGTGGAATTGATTACCGACTTCTAGAAAAGATCTAGGCAGTTGTAGTTCAATGTTTTGTAGTCAGAGACCAAATAGGACCAAAGATGTTAAACCCTCCCAACACATAGGTTCCAAATACAAACTTAAATTATAGACTAATGATTAGCTTCACTACTTACAGCTGGTGGATACCAATAGCCCATTTGTTGATATGCCGCTGCATATGGATATTGAACTGCTGCAGCAGCCGCTGCCAATTGTTGTTGTGTCATCATTTGCCCGGGTATCGCACCCCCAGCCGCTGCCGCAGCGTTTGCTGCTGCTGCCGCAGCCGCTGCTTGCTGTGGTGTTGTTGGCATACCAGCCGGTCCCATCATAGCTCCTGCTGCTACCGCAGCTGCTGCGGCTCCCGCTGATACAGCGGCCATATTATTCATAGGATTATCATTAACTACAGCAGGATTAATACCACCATTCTCTTTGCCCCAGAAACATTTCACATTGCTGCCGTGCACCTCGGAATTGTGTGTATGTTCTATGGCTCTGGCTGCCGATTCTTTCGATAGAAATTTAATGAACGCAAAGCCTTTGTCCTTGAATACACGTACATCTTGTATCTGACCGAATTGCATGAAATGTTTGTGCATCAGATCGTCGGTAATCACGTTCGGTGGGAAACCACCGCAATAGACTGTCGTATTCATTGGACTGGATTGATTGTAGACTTCTTCGAAGGTTTGACGGGTGTTCGATTTGAGATTACCGCCACCACCTCCACCGCCGGTATTAGCTTTACTGTTCTCTCGCGGTGGGGCCAGCTTTCGTGTCGACCAATTGGTACGTATCGATCGTGAACCGATCCACTGGCCATTCATGGCTTGTATTGCATTCTCGGCTTCGGCTTTCTTTACGAACGAGACAAATGCATAGCCTCTGGATTTCATTGTTTGGGGATCACGTACAATGCGGCAGTTAGAGATCTCTCCGAATGGAGCAAATGCTTCACGCAAGGTTTCAGTTTCGATTTCAGGACTTAGATCGCCAACAAAGATATGATGATGTGAGCTAATGTCTGTTTTGGGCTGATTGCCGGGACTTGTGGCCCAATTAACCTAAAGAAAATAGATTGAAAAAAAACATTCTTTTATTAAAAAATATCTAAGGTTGTTGTTGTTGTACACACTACTAACCTTTATTTCCTTGTCAAGAAAGAGACGCTTATTCATGGCTGTTAAGGCTGTTGTGGCTGCTTGGTATGTGGTATATTCAATGAATGCATAGGGATCATTACCGGGTTCTCGTATAATTTTACAACTTTTCACTGTACCCATTTGACTAAATAGGGCAATTAATAAATCCTCCGACACGCTGGCATCCAAATTTCCTACATACAACGTTTTCGGTTGTGATTCGTCCATTATGGCTACGGCAGATGTTCAGGGGGAGGGTTTTGTTTTTTTAGCGACTATTGGCCTCAGTAAAGTGGATTATGGTGGCGTGGGAGTGTGTGTATGTTGATGGATGGATGGATGAATGACTTAAAATTTGATGATGAGATTTCTATCTAATGTGATCTCCTTCTCTGGCGTTGCTTCGGCTTCACGTCGTTGAGGAGTTTGTTCCTTTTACTAATATTTTGTTTTTTCTATTTTGTTGGCAAACTGGTCGTAGATCTACTTATGCTAGATTATCCTTTTGTTTTTTTTTTAGTTTTGTTATCCTAAAAAATGATGTTACAACTTCTTAGATTTTGTTGAATTCCCCTGAGCTTTTCTGTTTTGTTGTTGTAGTAGTTGTGTATTGATTATTATTTTTTAATATTAATTTTTTCCTATTTTGTGGTTGATTTGTTGTTGGTTGTTTCCTAGAGGGACAGCAGCCTTTGTTTTGTTGTTTGCCTTTTTAGGAGCTAATGGATAAAGTAGTTTTGTTATTAACAGGTGATTTTACGGCTACGATTCTTTCCACACAACTTTTCAGTTCACAATAAATTACGAAGTTGTTGTAAAAAATTATTATATATCATATATATGTATGTATATATAGTAGAGAATGTATAAATCAATAAATAATGATTTTTGTTGATATTGCTCCTATTTTGTTATTGATTTGAATGATATACTTCTTTTCGCACACACATAGGCGACACGCACAGACGACGAACATCTACTATCTTTAGTTACTAACTGTGTTATATACATGTATATAATAATAAAAAAGAGAATATGTTGATTGATACTGGTAAGTTTCGACTACTTCTTCTTCTCCTTCTTTCTCTTGTTTTCGACTAATGAACTTGAATACTAGATCCTTGTTTGTTTGTTTGGTTTTTGTTGGAGATTTAACGACTATAGAGTCCGGGCATCCCAAACAAGTAATACAACCTCGTGTTTTTTGTTTGTTTTTGTAATATATAGTGGCTGAGTTCTGCTGTCCTTTGCAGACGACGTTCGAGTCTTCTTTTTTTCAGTGACGATTATGATTGCTATTACTATACATCTGGAGGGTATGCTTGCTTGTTTGTGGGAGGGGGGCGGTAGTACTCGGCAATAAGTTTGTCCTTGTTTTGGTTTCTATTATCACCACATCAAACTCGGGATGTCACAGCAGCTGTTGTGTCGATCTTTTGTTTTATCCGATTTCTAGATGCCTAGATTGGTAGAGTAGTAGTAGTGTTAGATATTTTTTCTTCACCTTTTAAAGATTTATTTTCCTTTTTTTTTAATTTTTCAACTACAGCTCTATGGAGTGTTTGAAGTTTACATTAACATTTATGCTCTGAATGGGTCTCTTTTTTTGAAAACTTTAACAGCTATTCTATTAAGTTGTTATATATTTCTCTTGGAGAAAAAGAAGGTTTTGGTAACTATTATTTTGTTTAATTAATTATGTTTGTTTGGAATTAGTACTTCTTTTAAAGAAATTGTTTCTTTTTATCGAAGTTAATCACGCGTTGCTGTTGGATTTTTTTTTTTTTTTTTTTGTTTTTGCCTTGATAAAAATTTACTTACAAAATAATTGTTTTAGTATTTCATTAAATAGTAAATATATGATTTTTGTTGTTGTTATTTGCAAATATGTTTGCTATATATCTGTGTCAGGCTCTTTTGGACTTTATGGAGGTTTACTGAAAATAAAAATAAAAAGAAAACAAGTATTTAGTAAATTTTATCTATGAAAATTGTCTTATAAGAAGTGTCGAAGAAATCAATAAAGAAATGTTAATAATATCGAAATGAAATAAATTGTTGGAAATCTGCCCAACCCCCTCGATGATGAAATCGAGATGGATCTTATCGACCTCGATAAATAAATAATCGATGAGGTCCCATCACAACTCAAACGTCAAGGCTACTCTTCTTCTTAAAGTTTAACGAACTGGATCACAAATAATCAAATAAAATATTGACGGAGATAGACGAAATTTAAAAACAGTGTAGAAAAACTATTTATTTTAGCCATGTCAGAGTATTAACAAAGCTATGGATCTGCTTGGGATCTATTCCAGAGAAGAATGCTAAATTATCAATATCGTATTTAAAAAACAGTCGATGTCTTCTGTCAATTAGCGATGGACACTTACAGAGTATATGTGACTTGTTATAATCCCTATAACGATTTTAATCTCCCTCTTACTATGAGACAACAGCGAAGAAGTTTAACGGCGAGAGAATGGTAAGATGATTTTTTGAAATTCTACATCCAGGATCTGTTTTTCATCTGTTTTTGACTATCTCGCAGTAGCTTATACGGATTTTGCCAATAAAGTAGCCAATGGGAGGTTGTACATATCCCTCAATGGGCCAGGACTGGACAGCGACACAGGAAATGCTCAATTGTCTCCGTCTCCTCCTCGTCAACGCAGAGTCTACAGTAATCAGTAGCATCATGGTCCCATTTACTGGTAAATGCCTGGCCATTGCCAGTAATGATACCTGTCATTACTCTTATTTTGCTCAGGTTCAACAGTGAGTGTGTGCACTTTTGTTAGACAGAGTCGGCTAAATAGATCTTGACACATTGCAACTAGGTTCGTTGTGCCAAAGTTCATAGGCTCTTTCGTAGAAGAACACCTCAAAGTCCCGATGAAGATGACATATTGGTGATTTGATTGAACCATCAATTGCTAAATCTGTAGATTGAGATTCTCGTCTAGCTAATTCGTCTGCTCTTTCATTACCCATGATGTCACGGTGTCTTGGTACCCAAACATAATTCAATATGCTATCGACATATATAGTCACCGGTCCTATGTTGTTGGCAGTAAGCTTTTGTGATTGCCAGGATTTCTGGCTGAAAAACGCTACAGAGTTTATATGAGTTGTAAATTACTAGTTCCTTGGTGTAAACGCCTGTCTTTTTCTCCTCCTCTTCTATTTGGGTTCAAAAATCACTGATCTTAGGTTAGGAAACAACAAAACGGCATCTTTTCCAAGAACAATGACATTGTCATGAAATTTGTGACATACAAATCAATAAAAGAATTTCTGAGAAGACGATGATGAGGTGTGTGGATTTACATGTTGATTTCCAACTCCCCCTAATTCCGCCTTATTGAGGTTACACATTATTTTCTGAAGAGTAATTTATCACAAGCCTACAAGTACCTAATGGAAAACTCTTTATATTCTCTGAACTGAGATGATAATATCACACATTGTTATTAAGAATACATTTTATCAAAATCAAATCAAATAAGTTTTCTTTTCATTACAACAACAACAAAAACAATCAACAACTATTGATTTAAGATGGATGTCATCAAAAAGATGATAATTCTTTCTACACATCATTGAAGTAGTCATTGTTAGAAAAAAACAACAAAGAAACAAAAACTGTGCCACCTAAATAAAACAGAGTAATTCAAGCTCAAACCTCCCCACAACACCATGTCCACCATTGCCATCAATGCAACTAACCAACGACGGATCCATTCTATCAAGGCCATAATTTTTCCAATGTGAAATATATAAGGTCATGAACTTGGAATAAGGAAACAACAACAAAAAAGCAAAAGTGATACGTATAGAATTTAAAACTTCTGAAACTAACCAACGCTTGCTAATGCTGCTACGGCTGCTATTCGAAAAAGGGGTCAGTCAGCTAAAACGCTGGCTGTGTCTTACAAATCCGCAAACACAACTCGCAAGCAGGGAGGCAGTCAGGCACACAAACACACGCACGCACACTTCAATCCATACAACACATGCACACCAAACCAAAAAAAAAGAAAATATATGCAAGTATTCATCATCGCTCTGGAGAAGTAATTAAAACATTATTTTGTCATTTGGTCGGGAGGTGGAATAATATGACCATCCATCCAACCATCCATTGTACCACAGACAGCAGATTAATATTTACAATTTTTGGGTTTTCATTTTCTTTTCTTTGTTTGTTAAGTTTTTCGTTGTCTTTTTTCTTTTCTATAGTTGGCGCTTCATGCAAACACTCACACACACACGCGCGCACTCGTACGAACACAACACAGCATTGTTGTAAATGACACAAGCAAATAAAGGAAATGTTTAAACGCGCCTCTGGAAAACGTCGTCCACTGTTCAGTAGCAGTTTGGTTCATTTTCTTTGCTTGATTCTTCTTCTTCGTTTGGTTGGTTAGTTCGTTTTGGTTTTGTATGGGTTTTTGTGTGTGACGACTGCTCACTACTCTTTCTTTCATTGGTTTTTATTTTTTCATTTTTTTATTTGTTACTTACATAAATATTGCTTCTATAAATGTCAAACAGCACGTCCATTGCATATTCCGAAATGAAATTTGTACAAAAATGATATTTTGCAGTTGAAAACTATTTATTAAAAGCGAAAATATATAAAACACACAAGAACAAAAATTCACTCCACTACAAATGACTGGTCGTCGTCTCTCCGTTTGACAAAAAAAAAACTCTTGAAAGACAACGACGAAGATGGCTGATAGAAGAGTTGCAAAAATAACGAGAAAACCGGTACTCTATATTTGCACTCTTCTAACACATGGCAAATTAATATAAACTATTGCAGCAAACATGACGAATGAACATGTGAGAAGAAGAGGCTAAAGAAAACTAAGAATTAAGCCAAAGGGAAAATGCAAAACCGGCCATTGTAGGGTTGCATTTAATGCAAATTTTCGTTCTTTTTCCACTTTTTTGAGGACTGCCAAAGTGGAGACAACGACGTTACCAACATATAAGAAACCTGAACAAAGGAAAATATAAAAAATATCGCAGTTCGTATGGCATTTGCTTTGTCCCACCATGCAATTGCCGCCGTCGTCGTCGATGACATCGTTCTTGTTGTTGTTTATTTCAGCACACAATAATTCTTTCCAGAATCGAACAATTGCACTGCACTTTGGCAACCCTTGTCATTACAACAAACAAAGTGGTGTCTTTTCTCGGATCCATTAAATCCATTCATAATTTTCTCCAGCACTTGTAATTTCACTTAAAATATTTCCATAAGACTTTTGCTATTAACAATAATATATCATCTATATCCATATTTGTTTTCGCAGTTTATGAATCAGTAACATAAATTCACTACTTTTAGATTGTTTTTTTTTTTGTCTTTGCCAAACTTACGACACGTCTGTCTTGGAGCGGAACAAAAGGGTCTGATGAAGAAAAAAATTACATCGAAACGAATTTTATTCGATGGCGAACTGACGTGGCTAAGGACGCCGTTTCTTTTAATAATTACACAAATATTAACAAATTCTTTGGCGTTCACAGCCAGCAACGATTATCACAAGTTTCTCTTCAACTTTTTCTTAGATTTCTTTCTCAAAAAGCAATTGTTTAAAATCGCGTCGCTTTTGCTTTTACCTGCAAAGATGCCAGAGCCACGGTATAAGAGTCTAAACGCAACCATAGAGTCTCGAGTCAGCGACAGTCGTTTGCCGTGTGTTTCTTATAGGCAACGGGAAATCGCGACGGCTGACGTTCGCATCTAGCGGTTTGACGCTAGAATAGATTTAATTCATTTTTGCTCAGAGTCATACTCAAATTTTCTCTCTTGCTCTCAATTGAGTTGCCATATTTTAGGTAAAAATCAGCAGTGCTACCAAATTTCAATCAGAATTTATATCAAAACATATGGCAGTGCTGTTACAAAAAAAAAAACAAATATTTTCAAAGATTTTGGACGTTTTTTAAAGAATTAATAATAAAATGAAAAAAAATGGTCGAGGAAACAAAAAATACGGCATTTTGTATAACAACTCTTTCGTTTGGTTTTCACGCCGGCGAAAAAGTATGACGCTGACTCGTGACTCTCTGGTTGCGTTTAGACTCTAAAGCAGAATGAAGGCAACCAATTTCAAAGATGATTCACTAATTTGACGGCGTTAAAGTTAAATTCCCCAAAAGGGGTAATTAGTGTGTCGACTAGTTGTACAACAAATGTTTAAGAAAATAATTATTGATGTGGTTAAAAATTCTATGAAAAAAAAAATATATCGTCAAATGAATATAAAGCGCAAAATAGAATAAAATATTTAAATTTGTTTTAATTCAATTAATAACAAAAATAGAGATTATTTGAATATAAAACATCATTTACATTAGAACTTTTTACCGGGTTAACCTACTTTATAAGCATGGCATAGTTATACAAGGCGGTTCGTCTTCGGACGGCTCACAAGAAAAACGCATTTAAAGAGTTAATCACGCCTACGGGCTTAAAAAAGTACAAAATGGCAAAATGTGTTAAGCTTTCGCTTAACTTGCCACGTGTTTTATTATCGGACTAACGCAAAATATAAGAAAATTTCGTTTATCTCGCGCATATGGTTTATGGTCGTATTCCTTCTATTCGAATACAAAGTGGACCTGCCTCCAGTTTTTAAAGATATAAAAATAAAAATAATTATACAAGGTAGTCTTATGCATTCACATGTTTATAACTTTTTTTCATAAATTTGCCTTTGACAGCATTTTGTTTTCAAAATTTAAATGAAAAAATCTTCCTATGAAATGTACGCATGTCATGTGTTCAGTGGCCAAAATTGCTAAATCATTTATATATATAAATATTTTGAAGTTACCATAGTTGAATCTTGAGAGCAATGTTCAGCTTTACAGTACGTTTACATTGTACCGGATTCCATTAACCCAGTGGGTTTCAACTGTCAATTCCATTGAATACATTTGTAATAAATCCTCATAGAGTAGGTTAACCCAGTAAAAAGTTGTTATGTAAATGCCGTTTTAGAAAATATATTTTATTCAATTTTTTGAAAATATGTCATTCCATGGTACAATTATATAAGGTATATAAGCAGGGAAAAAATAAATCTACCTTGTGGGCTATAATGTCAGAATAAATGAAAACAAATGCAACAAGTCGTTCTGTTTATTCTTACATATGTTGTAAAATTATATTTTGTTATAGTTTTCAAAACATTACACACACAGTCACTTATTTTGTATATTAATTTACTATTTTAACGATAACACAATATAAAAATTCGTAATTTATATGTAGTAAAAAGTGAGTTTATTCTAATTTCGGGAACATATCATTTGTATATTAATTTCGCATAACAAGCCACAATATAAAAATTGTAATTTATATGTACCTATAGCCTACCATGAGTTTATATTAATTTCGTCACATTGTAATGATACTGCGCATGGCACAATGAATAGGTAGTCCATTTAGAGCGTAATTTCTACTTGAATTCGATGTGCAGTGTTGCCAACCATGTGAAATATTATAAGGAAAAATTTGACAGATGGTCGAGACAAAAACAAAGGTTTTTGTTTTGCATGCTTTAATGCGAATTCATCGCCGTCGCCAATAAGAGGGTAAACATTGCTCTCTGAGAGTCTAAACATAACCAGAGAGTCTAGAGTCAGTGACGGTCGTTTACTGTTTCTTATTGGCAGCTCTAACCATGGTACAATAATTACAAGGTTGGGCAGCTTGTGGTGAATAACAAAAAAGCAACTATGCACATGTGTCCTCTTCTGGCAAAAATAAAATAAATATACGCAACAAGTGTTTGTGTTTATTTGACTTTTTTCTACACAAAACTAAAAACGCGAAAAATGAATGAAAGGTTATGATTTCTTCCCAAAATCCAGTAGGGAATACCATCCATAACAAAGTAATTACTTCCAGACGAACGTGTTAAAAACGTTATTTTCATTTCAATTAAAATTGAATATATTTCAATTTATTTTGAATTTATTGACATTGTATTCAAAAAAATACAATACACACGCATACACGATATATGTATTTTGATTTGATTTGGTGGCTTGTTCCACCTTGAGAAAAAATTGTAATCAGTTGCTACTGTGCCCTACCTTGTAATTATTATACCATGGCTCTAACTCTTTCGTTTGGTTTTCACGCCGGCGAAAAATTATACCGCTGACTCCTGACTCCCTGGTTGTGTTCAGACTCTGATTGCACTGCGTCGCTGCTTCATTGCAATTTTCACGACCTCTTTTGTTTTGTTGTGACTTTCGAAAGAAATTATTAAATTTTGATCAAAAATATCCGCAAAAGTAGTACACAATGGCTCTTGCCAATGTCTTATTGTTAAGTCAAATAACAGGGCATGTAATTATACTAATTTTGTCCCTTTGTGTTGTTGTGCCACTGAGCTTTAATATACATGACTTTTGGTAAGCCCTGATATATATTATCGAGCGATAAAAAACAAAAACAATGACTAATATCCCACAATTTCCGTACATATAGTGGCCATTGTTTACTTTTCACCACTGGCAAATGGCGTGAGGAGGATGGCATGTTCGATCCCAAATGGGCATCATCGGACTTTTGTAATTTCCCATTGGTCACAGGCATTTTCATGTTTATCATCTCGTCAGTACAAATTTATCGTTATGCCCGCATGAAGGATGAAGAATCGTTTTTGGCATTATTTGTTGATGTTGTTCTGGGTATTTGGATGTTGGCCATGTCCATTATTTCTTCGATAATGATAACATTGGGTTTCATTGTCTGGTGCGATGGTATGACTGAACGTTTTCCGACATGTGAGATTACGGCCGGACAAAATATTATTCACGCCAATACGGATAATATTGATAATTCTGGATTTTACATTGAAATGGGAACAGCACAGGTAAGTTGGGGAAGTGTACCACATGATTAATTTAGTTTATCAAATGCTTCTTTTGTTGTTTTTTTTTGTTCTGTTACAGTTTGGTGCCTGGGGTGCATTTGCCATAAATGTGGGCATTGGTGTCATTGCCCTCTTAAAACTGATAAATAATCATCAAGTGCGCAATATAAAAGTATCCATGTACTTGGAAAGACAACGTTTGGTAAATCAACATCAAGTACAGCAAGATGGTCGTTCTACGCCACCGGTAATGTCATCTAGTGATTCCGAACAACCAAAATAGTTGAGCTATTGCGATCAATGCGATTGCACCCATCCCCAATGTGCTGGGCAACATAGTAACCACATTAAGCTCGAAGACGAAATTGTATTAATATTTTTTATTATTTTCATGTGTTTACTACTTCTATTATTATCTCATTTTATTGTAATTATATTGTTTGAAGCTGATTCCATGCAATGAGCAATGTTATAATATACTATATACACATTTAAGTTAAGTTTATTCGTATAATATTAATTGTATCGTAATAATTATTATTAGTTATAAGTTCATTTAGTAAAAAATATTAATATTATGTTTAACCATTATAGAACAAGGTCATATTATTCGCAATAACAATTATCCCAATCTCAATATAAAAAGCAAAACATTTACACAAATGAAAGGATTTCAAAATATTATCCAAATATTATGCCAACTCCAAATAAATAATCACCCCTATTCCGTATGTCGTCGTCGTTGTCGACGACGTTTCTCTTTCGACATCACTTCGCATCGACATCGACATCACTTCGACACTGATTTGGTATTCTGTAACACTCATGCGACGATGTCGACTATTTATCGATAATATCAATAAAAACAAAAAAATTGTTGCATATTTTTGGGCAAAAATGAGTTTGTATCCGTCACCTCACTGTGGCACAGGGTAAATGTGTCTGCAATGACCAAAAAGAAACGAGATAGACCCATAGTTTCTTTTTATTATATATGTACATAGAATTATTTTTCAGTCGATTTATGCATGTCCCTCCATCCATGTATTATTTTAAACAAGTTACATGCCACCATTATGATCCGAATGGGATGAAATTTTATTTGGCGCATAGACGATTCCTGTTGATATTGGTCAAAATCGGTACAGATTTATATATAGATCCCATATATTTTTCTTTATTTACACTTTATTTTGCATTAAGTATTGAATAGATTCTAGAATGATGTATCATGTTCTTGTCCAGTCATGTTTTTTTTTTTAATTTATAAAAAAAATGTTCAAACGCTTCAGTCGTCAACAAAAGCTATGACGAAGAAATCTTCGACATCGTCGTCGTCACACATTGTTACGGAATACCAAAAATGTTTCAATAGTTATCGATAAATGTCGACAACGACATAGGGAATACCAATTTGCAAAAGACGACTCTCTTCGACGTCGTTTCGTGTCGACGACGACATACGGAATAGGGGTGAATATTCATAAAATATACATACGTACATACACATAACCCATGCTGGGGTGATTTTATTTTTAACTTCGTCTTAAAGCAGTGTACCTCTTATGCACGAAATACAGAAGGAAATGTAGGGCAACCCACATAAACAATATGGCATCTCATATGTTCTTTACATATAAATATGGCTACATTGGAAGAATAGAACGCAGTAAATTGTGCAACCGCTAATTCAAACATTCTCATTTTCAATAAGTGCTTTTTTTGCCTGACAATCTGTCATCGAAAGTGGGTGAATAAAATGGTTTGCCTTCAGATTTTATTGCAGTTCTCAAGAAAGTTTGCGAGCAGAGGGTCCAAAGACCTATGACACCAAATCGAAGACCATGTAACGCCAACATGAGCCCCCTGTCCGGTAAGTGCTATGACCTCAATCCCTGGCGTTCAGTGAAGTCTCGAGACTTCTAAGGCTACTGATCGTTGAAGTAGAGACTGTGCTGATGAATAGACGAAGATCTTACCCCTCCATGGACACAATTATATGTTGATCAAGGAACCTATCAAACAGGTCTGAATGGTATTCACACAGTGACAGTCGCTCAGGCAGTAGATCAATATCGAGTGATGACCGCAGTGATGATCCTACCATCCCTTATGGAACTGGAGAAAACACCAAGGTTGGATGAAAAGCAGAACGATGGATATGGTAAAACAGGCAATAAACAGCTAAACATGTTGTAGATTAATTTGCTTCAAGAGAACAATTAACAGCATTAATCGTCATTGGGAAGGTAGTAAACTGACAGCTGTTGCGGTCCAAACGATTCCGAGCGAAATGATAACCTCAATATGGATCCCACCACCACTTATGGAACTGGAGAAAAGGCAGAGGTTGGTTAATATGACGACAGCTAGACTCTACAGGTGTAACGCGTAGAGTTTTCTGCCATTTATCTTCCATATGAGGCGCCTGACCCACCCGGACCGGAGGTATGCAACCTGTTGGAGGAAATTAACTATATTCGTGACCTGGTCATTGGCTGTGATGCCATTCCCCCGCATTTCCACTGGAGAAACAGTGATACCAAATCCACGATGTGAGTCCTCATTCGATTTTATACTTAGATATAATCTTAGAATATGTAATAGAAGCAACACAGCGATGTTTGCAGTCACAAACATGAACCACTCTGGGTTTAGAAAATGTGAGGTATTCGAAAATGCTCCTTTCGAATCATAGGATAATATTACTCCAAATTGTAACCCCTAGAGTAAAACAGAAGCCTTATAGGAACCCTCGGAAGATGAACTGGGGTGCTATGAGTCCTCTTGTCCTTTGGCATAACCTGGGAGAAAATTGTGCAAAACGGTTTGCATATTCCATCTATTGCCAATGGAACTTATTTTCCCTGTAGGTCCAAGTCCATATGATACAACCTGATTCCACATATATCCACTATACCTCTTTGATACCAACATATTAAATATAAGATCGCCTAGTTATCCCTTTAAACAAATCCCAACAAAACAAGTAGACTTTTGATTTGCTTTATTGTTGTTGTTGATTTTTTTTCGATTTTTTCTTTTATAATTATATAGTTTATTGATTCTCCTTCTTCTTAGTTTTGTTAGTTTCTTTTTGTTGTTTTTGTTTATAACATATTATGGGTAGATAGAAGATAAGTGGGTTTGTTGTTTGGTTTGTGGTTGTTATACATTATTATCTGAGAAGGGTGATTTGTTGTGGTCTATTTCTATTTTGATACTAAAAACAAAAAAAGAATGAACAAAAATTTTGAATTTAGAAAAAATAGAGTAATAGAACTAATTAAAGCATTTTCGTGTGTGTGAGAATATCAGAGGAGGAATAATGGGGGGATGAATATAGGATAAAAGCTTGGTTTAGGCATTCGATTTCGTCCACTTCCTTTTAGCTGTTAGTTGGCTCCGGTGTGGATATTCTTATTTTTTTTTTGTTTGGTGTAAAAAATGTTTTTGTTCTGTTTTATTTGCGGATTATTAAAACTTGTTGTTTGTTGTTGACCACCAGTGTCATTACGTCGTTGTTGTTGTTTGCGGTTTTGCTTCGGTTCGTATAAGAGAAGATTCGTTATTGGTATTTGCTTGGCATTATTGTGTGATTTATTACAAAAGTTGTTTTGTAAGACAAAAAAGGGGAATATTTTGTTGCAAAGTTTTGTTTTTTTTTAGAGGGAGTATGGTGTACGGGCAGGCAGCATTGCTAGTATTTAGTGGATTAATTTGTGTGTGTCTCTTAACAAAATCACAAAAAAACTTTAAATCCAAAAGTTAACACATTTCTCAAAAATGTGCAAACGAAAAACTATTGTCATCGTCGTGTCGTCTTGTCTTTTGATCAACGATTTTGCTGTGATTTTTCCTGATTCCCTGCTCCTGCTATTGATGATGAAGTTGTTGCATGTAACATTTTTGATGAAGACAATGGAGTTGCCGACTGCTGATGCTGCTGAGGTTGCAAATGTTGATGTGGATGCATGTGCGTCGTCATGGTTAAAGAACGATTGTGGCCGCCGCTGGTGCTTGCTGCCATAACATCGGGCGAATTTAATTCCTTTGGATCGTTTAGCAAACTAGTTGCCGTATTAGCCGATGAGGCTAAATCCAAGCTTTGTGGAGGCAGACGCTGACCATCAACAATATTAATGCCACTTGTTACCTCAGCTATGGGATTTTCCAAGAGCTGTTGCAAGTTGCGTAGCTCCGAGGAACGCAGACTTGTCGACAGGCTTTCGCTAGAGGCCAAGGATGTGGATAATGGCGAGTTGCGTTCCACAGAGGAAGCAATGTCTGCAATAACAACAACGAAAACGTATAGAAGGAAAATTGTAAACATGTTTAACGCACTCACCTGTTTTATCGGTATCCGGTGAACAAGCTGGCGCCGGAGCTACTAACGTCAATGGCTTGTGCAAGGTCATCATGAATTTTTCCTCCATTTGCATTATGATTGTTTTTTGTATTTCATATTTTTTGTTTAAGGCCTGTCGAAGAAAGAAAAGGGGTTAAAAAATAAGAAAAGCATAGAATTCCTCCACCACTTACTTTAAATCTCTCCTCGTATTCATCTTTAACAGCTCGTAGAAGGCGTTTTTGCTCAGTTATTACTTTTTCATTGTTTAACAATTGTGAATGTAATTCCTGAATTTTATGACGAGCGCTATCTAATTGCGATGTTTTATCATCCAGACTGTGTTTCAGTTCTGCATTGAAAGGAAATCGTTAGTCAGGTCAGTTAGTTAGATAAACCACTCGTGTCACGACGCTTACCCTTTAATTCCAAATTATAGGCCTCCTGCAGAACTTGTAGTTCCTCATCACGCGACCGATAATTATCCATCTCCGCCAACTTATCCCGACATCTGATCTGAACCTCGCCCATCACAATGAAATCAGCTTCGAGACGTGCCAACTCCTGACGACACTGCATACCCACTTCAGCCTGTTGCTGAGCATGCTGCAGTTCCGTTGTCAAACTGAATACCTGACCCCTCAGAGCTTCCACTTCGTAGTTGATGTCTTTACGCTGTGACAGCTCTTCGGTTAATTTCGTTTGCAGGTTTTCATTGGCCTGTCGCAGGCAACGATTCTGTTCCAATTCATTTTGATATTTCGTCTTCAGGGCCGACAACTCTTCCTGGTATTCTCGTTCCCTTTCGTTAGTGGCCTTTTTCGTCTTGTCCAGCTGTTGGCTAAGCTCCCGGTTTTTCATTTCGAAATCCTTCAACTGTTCCTTTAAACGTTCACGTTCCATTTCCAGCGATCGCTTATCCCGCGATCGTCCCATTAGGCGGCGATTACGTTCAGCGTGTATTTCACGGCGATAACGTTCATACTGCAGCTGTAGATAGAGCAATTGAAACTGCTCCTTGTCCAGAATGTCCATGCTATTGTTGCGCAGACCACGAGCAATGAATTGTTCCAGAATTTCATTGGGCGTTTGCCTCTTGGCCTCATAGGCCGTGCGAAACTCATTCGTCTCGATCAACATCTGCAACAATGAGTTCTCATGATTGGGTAGAGGCACTGCTTCCAATGTCTGTACCGACTTCTCTTCACAAAGGGCTGCCTTCATTTGCAGTGAATTCTTTAGCACCGAATCAATGGCCAACATTTTGGGACACTTTTGCAATGGCCTTTCGCAATTTGGCCCTGATGCTGCCAGTGTTTTCGATGTCGTCGATGCCGACACCGTCGACAGACCACCTCCATCGTCTTCATTATTGTCCGATATATCACCGGAACTTTGAGATGCCTTAGAGGATACCAAATATAACGAAGATAGGGATTTAGTTCTACGAACCTTATGCAGGGTTTTGTACGAATCACCGGATCCGGATGTGTTGCCATTGACACCAATTTTCTCACAACTTTTTTCATTATAACAATAGCTAGTCATGCGATTGCGGCGCTTAATGCCTTTGGCCAGCAGCTGCATCGAATTACTAGTGGGCATTTGAAGGCCACCTTCGGTACACAGGGTTTGATCGGTTTCATTGCATTCATCACATACTTTGGTAATAGGTATATCCATGGCTGCCGATGACATCGGTACAGCACAACATGCCGCCGCCGCCTCACTACCGCTGTTGAGTGCGGAGAGCGGGGTAATCGAATTCGATTGATAGTAACGGGAATTTGTGCCGCCACTTCCAACCGCCGCCGCCGCACTGTGATTGTCCACATCGGGAGTGCGACAAAATTCGGTGGGCGTTTGAAAACCCATCTTTGCCGCCTGGGCTTCTATTGTCTGGAAAGGACTTTGGGATTTGTTACGATCGTGCAACATTTGTTGTACCTTATGGTCGTAGCGGGTCACTCGTGTAACGATCCGGGTGTTGAGTTCCTGCTCCACAAAGGTAGTGGTGGTGCCACCCCCACCTGAGGAGCCAAGTTCAGGGAAATTAAAGTGCTGATGTTGATAATGGTGGTGTTGTACTGATGGATGCTGGACCGTATCTTTTCCTCGATGTGGAGATGAGGGCTGGCTGTTGGTAAATATAGCCCTTACTGCCAAAGGATTAACCACTCCAGTGGTACCACCAATTGAGGGTCTTTTCAATTCTCGGTTGTCTTTTAAGGGGGTAGTTTCCGGGGTGGCTTCAACCGCAGCTTCTGGTGGAGAACAACCACTGACACCCAAAGAGCCTTGATTTAATGCCGATGGCATCATATACGGAGTCGGTGTTAGTGGGGTATGTGAGGAATTGATTATTTCGTAATAAGGACTCCAAATACCAGATTGTGATTGTGTGCCTCCAACCAAACGATTTTGTTGTTGATGGCGACCCAATGATGACGACGATGAGGTAGTTGCCGAGGCGGTTAGTTGTTGAAATGTACTGGTTGTGTTCGTAGTACTAGACGAGGCCAGAACGGCGGCGGCTGCTGCTGTTGTTGTTGTAGCCACAGACGATGTTAAATCCTGATATTTCATCGGCAAGGAAAGACGCATACATTCCACCACAACATCATGCGGTTGTATTTCTTTCCATCGTTCGGAATTTATTTCCGAATCCACTGTGGCCGTTACCAACATCGGATGTAAACGTACCGTCTCCAACAGTGGTTTAATGGTATGCTGGAAAATAGCACCCTTTTCACGGCGTATAAAATCCGTTAGGAATGCCATGAAGTTACACGGAAACATGCCGTACAAACGATGAAACAACATTTGTAAACCCAACTGCAGGTGTACCAATTTGTCCTCGGACAAACGACTAGGATGTTGACTATTCCATGAGGCCAAATGGGCGAAAACGGCAAATAGATCGTTAAGGAAATTCGGTACTAAATTGGGTATGATCGGTAGTAGGGTGATAATGGCCAATAGGGCACTCATTAAAGGTACAATTTCTTTTTCAATCTGTAAGAAGAAGGTCTGAGTTAGTCTAGAATATTTTCGAATTGGTTGTCCGTACCTCCAATTGCTTCAACCAATGTAGCATATCCTTGATTAAGCGATGCTTTTCCACTTTGAACAGCCAGGTCGGATGACGACGCACAACAAAACAGAATAAATTTAAGGCATTAACACGTTGGGCCGGTGTCTTCAGCCAATCGGCCAAACGATCAAATATATAACCATCATGTGGAGCTTGAGCTTTGATTAATACCTCAATAATACGGACGGAACCAGTCTTCAAATAATATTCCATTAAATTATGAACAAGCCATTGATCTTTGACTGTAAATGAAAAAAGAGAAAAATTTAAAGTTTGCAGATATATACGGAGGATCCTGAGATATGTACTTACTCTGTGTAAAATGTTCCGCCAGTTTCCTTTTGGCCTCTTCACATTCATAATTTTGGTTGGATTCTAAATCATGGAATAGTTTATCCAACTCCATTGTGGGTGTTGTATCACAACTTCAAAATCGATTGATGTTACGGGGAGGGGTGACAGAAAATGTTTGTAAATTTAGCTGTGGTTTTTGGTCTGTAAATGTGTGTTGTTGTGTGGTGGATATTTGGATCGTAAAATAAATGGTTTTACTATCCTGCAGAGGAGAATCTACGTTAGAAGACAAATCTGCTGATGATATAAATCAATGTTATTATTGTTGTTGCTGGAATAGTAGTGTTGTCTATTGCAAGAGTGATGTTGTCTAGAGATTTTTTGTTGTTGTTGTGTATCGTTAAGTTTCTGATCCAGCTGTTTTGGTTTGTTATGGTAACGACCGGCAGCCGTTCTATGGATTGGTTTTAGTATAATTAGAATGCTATTGGCGGGGTAATGGTTGTGGTTGTTTTCAGATTTTATAGTTGTTATTAATGCTACGTCTTCGTCTTTTTCTGCTTCAGTTTGGTCTATAGTCTGGAAAAGGTAGATGAAAATTATATTTTAGAATCTTAAAAAGTTGTTATTTTTATATTAATGGCTTTAACGAGTTAGTAAAATTCTGTTCTAAATTTCCCCGTTTCTTCTGGACCTTTCGGTCAATTGACACTCGACTCATTCTATGCTGAATCAATATCTAGCTGGCTGGCACAAACAAATTTTCTTGCTGAAGTCATTTACATACGTCACAAGTAAACAATGAATGGGCTGGCTAGAGTAAGTAAACAATAATAATAATCAGATAGTCATGCAAGTTTTATGCCATTTAACCTCAGACCTTGTTGCACAAACAATAAACTTGTTGTTTGTCAACCCAACCAGAAAAATATTAGGAAATGGTGATCGGTGGCAATACCAGACCAGTATTTACCTGCCAGTTTAAGGTTTTACTACCCCAGCCCTTGACATAAGTTCTAGCTAAATCTTCATCAGCTCCTTCCTCCCCCTACATACCTTCTCTTGTTTCATTGTTTTTTTCTATTATTGTTTGTCGTGTCCTCCAGTCGGTTGCCTTGTTTTCACGTTTCGACAGACTCCTGCTCCGTTCCAAAATAGTGCAGTAGTGGCGAATCTTGTGTGTATGTGAAATTTGATCCTTTCTTTTTGCAAAATTCTTCTCTCGTTGCTGCCAGTTTGACGTGGTGTTTTGCCGTTCTCCCCTAGCCGATAGAAAAGTGCAAATTTCCTCCCGGTCAGCCTGAAGAAATTTGCCAGTGGTTATTTCTCGAACAGTGATCGAATTGTTCGCAGAAATAATTCAGCAGCACGGAAGCAAATATCGTCGTTTTGAAAACAGCAGCACATTTAGCATTTGCTGTCGCTTCGAATCCGAAATCCAACCAACTATACTTGCATGCGATTGAGTTTTGTGTTCCCTTACCGACCGACCGACCTTCTTCACTCTACGTTGTTTTTGTTTTAAGCGTATTTTAATGCCCGACAGACTATCAGAAACGACATCCAATATTTTGCATGTTTTCTTTGCCGTCTCCTTCAGTTGCTGGTTTACAAATTAGCTTGGATTATTTGTAAATTTGACCAGCCTATTCACAAAGAATTTTTCCAATTTTTCCTTTTATCGTTATCATCCGACCGAAATTAAAAACGTTCCACCTGCTACAAAATAGGAAGAGCAAGAACGAAAGTCTGATAAAGAAGTTACCCAAAGCGAACAGACAAATATTTACGAATGAGGTGTAATGGTGGACATCGCCTGAGAGACAGTCGTTCGATTGTTAAGTAAGAAAGGGGAATGGGAGAACAAACAATTGAATGCTGTTCAATTTGTTCAGTTAAATGATTCACTGAGAAGAGCGACGGAACCAGGTAAAGGAGTTATTTGCATTTAGATAATAAATCGTGCATGGTTTATATATAAAAATAATATATTTTGTATATATTTATTTTATTCATTGCGACTAAAATAAACTGCGAATTAATTTAATTCAATCGCAGATTTCATCCCATTATCCGTTGTGCCTTGGACATCGTTCAATGCTGGTTTTGCCTTCATAAAAAATGTTTTTTCATTTGTAATTTGTTGTAGTTGTTGCACCAAATTGCATCAAAACAATAAACAGCTGTTTCATATGCCGTTGTCATATTTTAAAACTTCAATTTTTTAATTATATTTTAATTATAAAAGAATTTTACAGTTTATTCTTGATATTTCACATTTATATTGTTAAAGAATTTAAATAACAATAAAAAGTTACAATTTTTAAAAAGAAAACCAATAAACAAAATATTGAAAACTATTACAAAATTAAATTAAAATGACAACACGAATCCTTTCAATTACCCTTTTCGAAAAATCGAATCCGAATTTCGCTGAATTTCTTTGCTTCTCCCTATTGATTCAGAATAAGCCGAGAATGTGAAAGCGAAATTTCCCACAAGCGAGATCTCTATCTAGCGAATATCAAGAATTATGAATTTTGTTAATTTTCAAAGTTGTCAGGAAAATAATACATTTAACAGCCTCGTTCGACGTTTTTCACCACAAAAGTAGAACACATGTATTTTTATGAATGTTACCGAAATACGTCGAACGTACAACGAACAGTTGAACAATTTCAACTTTGAAAGAACGTATTTTTCATTTTTTCTTTTTTGAAAATAAAAACAAAACATTCAGAAAATATAAAAATTTCGAATGGATACTTAAAATAGTTGGATTAATTTAATAAATTATCAATTTTTTGCGGTTTTGGGTAATACGGCCGTACAGAACATTTTGCCAAAGTGGGGATGTTGAATATTTTTGTACGCCCCGTCGGATAAAATAAAATATGCGTGTGTTGAAGTAGAATAGATACAATTTTAATTAAAAATACTATTTGTTGTAATAAAAAGTCTACTACACACTATTAAAGCACACATGTACACAAGGGTTCATTGGTCGCAGCAGTATGGCATTTTTTCAAAATATTTAATTTTGAACAATATGACAATGTTTCTGCTAAAATTTAAGTCACGCTGATAAAAAAAACTTTTCAGTAAATGTATTTTTAATTTTTTTTCTGTACCCGCGTCGAATAAAATGTTTTATTACCAAATTATACAAAATAAATTATTGATGTCATAACCCTATATATGTTCATGGCCAGGAATAAGCTTAAAGTCCCCTAAATTAATTTTAGTTAATTTTAAAATAAGAGTAAAGATCCCTAATTGTAAATAAAAAATATTTTTAATACTTTTTAATAAAATATTAAATAAATTAGTATCTAGCAACTAAAATCTAGTTGTTTAGATGTCTAATATTAAATAATTCATAAAAAATCTGATAAAAATTGGAATTTAAATACCGGTATTCAAATCAAATTTCATATACTGAGTACATGCAGCATTTCATAACATACCGGCAAAATGTTGAAAAACTTAAATTTCTTGAATGGAAATTGGTCTAAAAGACTTTACTCCGCTCAAGCTATAGCTCCCAAGTCACTAAAAGGGTACATACCAAATCGATCAAATTGAATAATTGAAAATATTAATGAAATAAAGTTGTTGTCCAGGAAATGGAGAAGTGTGGTGGGTTTGGAGGTACATGCTCAAATATCCAGCGAATCAAAATTGTTCTCAGGAAGTGCTGCAGGATTTGGCGCCCCATTGAACTCAGCTGTATCGTATTTTGATGCCTCGATACCGGGAACTTTGCCGGTACTGAATCGTAAATGTGTGGAATTGGGTATAAAAACTGCCTTGGCACTCGGCTGTAAAATCAACGAGGTGTCTATGTTCGATCGTAAGCATTATTTTTATGCTGATATGCCGGTAAGTGAAATCGAATGTTGATATGCGAGCGGGGTATTTATTCGATAGTTTTAGGCTGGTTATCAAATTACCCAACAACGAAAAGCATTGGCCAACAATGGCCAAATTACATTTCCCGTCATTGTGCCGGGTAAGAAAATCTATCACAAGACTGTACAATTGCTGCAACTACAATTGGAACAAGACAGTGGCAAGTCGCTGCATGATCATGAAATGCGACGTAGCCTTGTTGATTTGAATCGTGCCGGTTTGCCACTTATGGAATTGGTATTTGCACCCGATTTGGAGACGGGCGAAGAGGCTGCCTCCTTAATTAAGGAATTAATATTGATACTGCGTCGTTTGAAAACATGCTCTTGCAAAATGGAAGAAGGTGCCTTGCGTGTTGATGCCAACATCTCCATACACCAGGAGGGTGAACCCTATGGAACACGTACTGAAGTAAAAAATATAGGGTCGGTACGTAGTATTTCACAGGCAGTTAGCTATGAAATACAACGCCAATTCGATGTGGTGTCACAGGGTGGTGTGATCATAAACGAAACACGTTCTTGGGATGCTGAAAAACGTTGCACCATTGCAATGCGTGACAAAGAAGTTGTACAAGATTATCGTTTCATGCCAGAACCAAATCTACCGCCATTACATTTAAATATGATCGATGAAGTGTGCGATGTAAATGACCCAGCTTCGTTGGTTTCCGTACCCGCCATTGCAAAACAATTGCCGGAATTACCGGAAGAGACGCGTAAATATTTGGTAGAACAGTATAAATTAAATCAGGAAGTTGCTATTATATTGGTGGTAAGTAAAATATTTAAAACAAAGAAAAATATACGAGATTTTCTTTTCCTTCATTTCAGAATGAACCAATACTACTTGAACATTTCTTACAAATTATTAAGAACTTGCCGGCCATACCAACAAAAACTGTTACCAATTTCCTGATTAACGATCTGCTTACCTATTGTAATAAAGTTAATATCGATATAGAGGAGTGGTAAGTCAATATTTAACGAGAATCAAATTTTAATAAAAAATGTTATGTGGCGATAGGAAATGGAAACTTGAAAAGTTATGAATGTTCGGTTGTTTAGCAAGTATACAAAAAAAATTGTATACTCGCTAAAAATAGCTGACATTTGACACTATAGGATCTTTAAAAAATTACCTACATCTTAAATGTTTTCAGGTGAGATATTCCTATATAATGGGTCATTTTTAGGGGTAGATTTTTAAAAATATATATATGAAGAGGACCAATCTCGTCGATCAAAATCAGAAAGGGATGAGCAAAATGCATTATATGCCAAGCCGAAGAAATATGGAAACAACAACGGCAAATATTAAAAATCTGCAAGGGAAAATAAAACGGAGGGAAATGCCAAGACACGTAGGAAAGATCAGGGATGTTTCAATTGTGCAAATTTGCGTGAAGTTAAAGAAAATAACCAAGAAAATTCTATGTTCAATATCATTGCTGCTGGTTTTAATTGCATGGATATATCGAATGAATTGTGTTTGGACAGCGGATGTTCGTCACGAAGTTAACCGACAAGGGATACAAGGTTATTTTTGACAAAAACGAAGCTAGAATCTTGGATGGAAATAAAATCGCATGTAAAAAGGATAGAAAAGATAATCTATATTTTTTGCGACAATCGGTTCAATCAGCGAATTCGGCTAAAGTAAAGATGCATGATGTGTATATGTGGCTTCAACATTTAGGACACATAAATGAGCGTGATTTGACGAATCTTGCCAATGGTAAAATGGCGCATGGTATCAAGATACGTCCTCAACAAGATTTGTCAACATTGAGAAGCAGAGGCGACTTGCATTTCCCCTTATAGCAGACCTTTAGAAAGTTTTCCCAGGAAACTAGCACTTCAATCTTCAGAAAAGACTCAGACGAACTATCCTAATTATTTCGAAACCGGTAGCTTAACATTAATTTTTGGTTGATTCTTTGAAAATTTATAGTTAGGAATTTAAGTCACAATCTTTACTGAATATCCCTTTTTGTGATACAATTTAAGAACTAAATGTTTGCGGATTTTTTTATAATTTTTCATATAGCCATTTGAGCTATAATCGCTTAAAGGACATACTCAAGGCCTTACATGCCGAAGAAATCAATTTACAAGCTGCAAGGAAATTAATTGAATTGTTGCATGAATATCACACCGCCGAAGTGAATGAGGTAAGTGCTTTAAATAATATTTTGTATATCAATATTTGTTTAATTTAATTCCCTACTTTTTAGCTCATAAAAAAACATAATTTGGAACAAATATCCGACATCGAAACCATTAAGAAATATTGCCAACAGGCAATTGAGAATCAAGCCAAAGCTGTTAAACAATATCAAAGTGGCAAGACAAAGGCATTGTTTGCCATTGTCGGCGAGGTGGCCAAGTTGTCGGAACAAAAAGCCAATATGAAAATTGTTGTTAAATGTTTAGAAGATTTGTTAAAGGAAAATAAAAAATAAAACACTTGAGAAATATTTGTTAAATATATATTTCAATTTTTTTTTTATTTATCAAATTTTAGTAATATATTTTAATGTGTGTGTGTGTGGTGTTGGTTGGGTAAATGCATTTTCTTTGATAATAATGATGATGTTGATCCACTATTACTTTCTGTCGCCCTTTGTTTTTTAAATTAAAAAAAATATAGTTGACTGTATATTTGCTGTTCTCTTTTTATCGAAACAAGGAGAACAGTAACAGTGTCACATAAATGTGTCTATTTTTTTTTTTTTGCAGCTAGCTAGCTAATGTTTACGTCCAAAATTAGTTTGATATATTTCTTTATTGAACACACTATATTCAATTGTCTTTCTAGGCAGACAATGATAAGCTATTTCCTGTTTGTAACACTTTTTGAGATTTTGCAAAGAAAAAATAATGAAATGATTTTTGTTGGTAATGAGTTTTTTTTATTAATTTATTTTGATTTAGTATGTTAAATGATTTGTTTGTGTGTTTTGTTTTGAGATCGATTGTTTTGTGGTGATTTTGGTTGCGTAAAAATGCTATTCATCTAACTTATTATACTAATTATTTTATATGTATGTAGGTATGTATGTTGTTGCATGGGTGCAAATGCAAATGTCTATAAAAATTTGTGATGCTTTTTTCCTCTTTTTATTTTTTACTAATTTTAAATATTTTGGTCTTATCTTAAAAATATAAATAAATGCATTTTTGTTGTAGGAGTCATTAATTTGGTGTTATATGGCAGTTTAAATTATCCACATGGTTTTTAATCGCGTTCATAATCACGACAGCTTGAAGGTGGTAGACTCATGGATACGGCATTGTCCAATCTGTAAGCATAAATATTTTAATTTAAAAAATATATATTAATTATTTTTATTGTTATTTTATTTGGGATTACCTTCTAGATTCACTTTCCAATAGATTTGGGTCCAGCGGATGCTGTGAAACGTGTCGCAAAGAATCTCCCAGGGTATTGCGTAAATGTTGCATTTCACGATTTGCTTTGGAGCTGCGCAAAATATATTGCTGGCGGCGTTTAGCCTCTTGGGCCAATTGTTCGCGCAACATTGAAATCTACGAAAGGGGAGAAATAAAACAAAAACAATTAGTAAATGTTGCAGCTCGAAGGAGAATCCCATTTCAGAAGAACTGACTCTCTGAATAGCCAGCAAACTATTCCAAATTATACCTCATATAAAAGGCACATATATCAACCCTAGAGAAACTAAACCCTCATGGGGAAAGTTCAAGCAATCAAAAGGGCATGAAAAGTCATGACAAAATTCAATTCGAAGCAGATTTTAAGCCATCATGGAATTAAAAGGAAATATTTAGTCTTTGCACTGTCACTGGGCAATATTTTGGGAGTCGTTAAAATGGAATTGGTAAGTACTTTACCATGCTTCCGATAGGAAGATTGTGCCAAATATGGATATAATAAAAGATCGATTTGTATGCCCTCCACCATATATGAAGGGTATAGCCTCTTAACGAATTGACATAGATCGCCAAAAATGTAGAATTTGTCTTTTGTCTGCAGGCACATCAAGGTCGAATATGGGCTATATCGATTCATGTTTAGGCATAGCCCCCATATAACAATACCACCAATTTTCTGCATTTTGGAGTTTTCAAAATTACAAAATTCTGTGTAATTTGGCACATTGGGTTCCTATTGGGTACCAAATCTCCACACTAAAAAATATTAACGGCCCATTTTTTGGGTAGTTCCCATACAAAGGTAACCTCAAAATATGCGGGTCATGAATTTTTTGGACAAGTTTTTCAATCAAATTGGCACTTTGTGTTCTTATAAAAATCTGTTCATTTTTTCGGGTAGCTCCCATACAAAGGTTTCCCCAAAATATGCGGATCATGAAGATTTTTGACAAGTTTTTTCGATCAAATTGGCTGTAATTTGGCACTTTTTGTTCTTATTGGTTACCAAATCTCTCCATTAAAAATGATACATATCGGCCAATTTTTTTTCGGTTAGCCCCCATACAAAGGGACCCTTAAAATATGCGGATCATAAGCTTATGGGACAAGTTTTTTGATCAAATTGGTTGTAATTTGGTTTTTATTGGGTACCAAATATTCCCGCTAAAAATTATCAATATTGGTTAAATTTTTTGGGTAGCTCCTATACAAAGAGACCCTCAAAATATGCAGATCTTAAAGATTTTGAACAAGGTTTTCAATCAAATTGGCTGTAATTTGGCACATTGGGTTCTTATTGGGTACCAAATCTCCACACTAAAAAATATCAATAACGGTCCACTTTTTTGGGTGGCCCCAATGCAAAGGTATTTCCAAATATACGGATCATGAGAATTTTGGACAAGTTTTTTAATCAAATTGGCTGTAATTTGGCACTTTGTTTTCTTATTGGCTACCAAATCTCTCCACAAAAAATAATTAATATCGATCCATTTTTTGGGGTAGCCCTCATATAAAGGTAACCTCAAAATATGAGGATTTTGAACAAGTTTTTGAACCAAATTTGCAGTAAATGGGTATGACGGTTTCTAATTAGTGATTTTTTCATTCGATTTCGCTGTAATTTGGTATTTTATTCTACCTTCTTGAAATTGTATAAACCCCCCAATATATAGTGGTTATCTGCATATCATACCTGGTTTTCTAAACGCAACACTTGTTGACGATGACTTTGTTCACGGGCATCCAATAGCTTTTCAGCATGCATTTGGGCACTGCGATAACGTTCCGTATCCAAACCATCCATACATTTGGCGCTGTCGTGTATACGTGCCTTGCAACGGGCCAGCTCTGATTCCTTTTCAGCTAATAGGGTCTCTAGGCGACGTACCTTTAAACGTAAATCACGATTTTCTTGTTCAATAACGGCGTGATCTAGGCCACAATTGAAGCTATTGCCACCACCCGGTGCCGAAGAATTTTTACGTTGATAATTACTACTTGCTTGATAATTACTATTGGCCGTCGTATTACTTTCAAGACGATTCGAATCATAATTGCCATCGTAATATGGTGAACTCTGACCAAGACCACCACCACCACCGGAACCACCCATTGCCGATTTTTCTGATCTATCGAAAACACTATCACCCGCAAATTTACTCTTTCTTTCCGATTCCAATTGTTTCACTTTATCCTGTAGCACCTGTAGTTTGCTGCGTAGCTCCGATTTTTCGCGCTGTGATGATTTCAATTGGCGACTCAGCTCATCCTCTTCGCTGTGGTTGTTCGAGCTGTGATTCTTATCGCCCGATTCTTGATTCCATTTTGCAATACGGAGCTGCGATTCTAAGGCAGAGTTTTTCACTTCCAAATCATTAACTTGATCTTGTAGCCGTTGAGCACTATCCAACTGGGCCTGTTGGCCACGTCTCAGATCGTTAATGGAAGCTTGGGCCTTTTCCAAACGTTCACTTAAGATGCGTTTCTCATTCTCGGCAGTTTGTAAGGACTTTTGCAGAAGCTTAAGTTTATCTTCATTGGCCTGAGAACAGTGACCTTGTTCGGATATTTCTTTACTGGCAGTTTTAAGTTCACCTCTTAGTTCAGCTTCGACGACGGCGGCCTTTTGCAGCCGTTCCTTCATTTGATCCAAGGATGATTTGAGTGATGCACACCTATCTTCCAATTGCGCCATTGCTCTATTTTGATTATCCAAACGTTCTTGGGCAGCTCTAATGTGACAATCCTTTTCCTGCATGGCCATTTGTAGACGTGTAATATCGCCCTCCAAGGCAACACGTTGCAAGTCCAATTTTGTGGCACGGCCTTCCAGTTTGGCCAATTCCTCTTGCAGGTGGCGTTTTTCATTTTCCAGTTTGGCGCCATGCTGTCGGCATTTCTCCAAACGCTCTTCGTTTTGTGAGTTCTCTTCGCTGCAGGAGTTTAATTGCATTTCCGTTTGGGCCAATTTCTCCCTCAGCTGTTGACATTCGTCGACCTTCTTTTGGAATTTCTCTTCGAGAGCATTCAAAGCGGAGACTTTCATGCTGCGCTCGGTGTCCAGATTACTCTTTTCCTGTTGTAAATGTCGGATCATTTGTTGCAGTTTCGATACTTTGGCATCGCATTTCATTTGCTGATCGGCGGCATCCTGCAGCTGTTTCTTGGTGGTCATCAATTGCATTTTGAAATCATCTTTCTCGCGTTCTATTTGGGCAACTTGGTGCATAAGGCAGCGTACTCCTTTGCGAATCAGATCGGGATCAATGTCAAGTGAGGGGCCATCTGGGCAATGGGAAGTGCTACGTTGATCGAAATCATGGCAGCTGGGCGCTACACCACCAGAGACACTGCGAACAGGGCTGAAACGTCTCGAAGGGCTGACAAGACGGTGGGACAGATTGACACTACCATCAATTTGTATGCCGGCAATGCGACGTAGGGTGTGAATGACGGAACTTAATTTATGTTCACATTCACGTTTGTGCTGTTCCACACAGGCTAGCTGTTCATCTAAGGCACGTATACGTCCCTCTGCACCTCCCAGACGAGCTTTTAGCTCTTGGATTTGTTGTGTGGCGTCGGCCAGACATACCTCCAAATTGTGTTTTTGATCTTCCAAACGTTTCTCCCGGCCGCGAGCCTCTTCCAACCGGGCCAATAGCTCTTGTTCGCGGTTGTGGAAACGATGTTCCTCTTGATTGGCATGACAACGAGCTCGACCAAGTTCTTGACGAGTGGCACACAAATTCGCCTCCAAATCTGCCAATTGTTTTTTCACTTGATTCAATTCTTGGGTGGCACGTTCCTTGAGCTCCGTTTCGGCAGCCAATTTATTTTGTAACTCTTTTCCGCCCTCATCTTTCTGGGCGAATTCCATTTGGGTCTTTTGCAAAGTATTTTTCGTTGTATTCAATTCTTGGCTAGTCTTTTGAAGATTATTCTCGGTTTCTTTGAGTACCGTGGAGAGGCGGGTACGTTCGATTTCCAGTGTATTTTTACTATCTTCCAAACTGCTTATTTTCTGTAGAGCTTCCTCAATGGCACGGGCTTGTTCACGTTTGGCACCCTCAACACGTTTGACATGATCACGTAGTTCCTCATTGCTGGTGGAATACTTGTCACGTTCGATATTGCTATCGGCCAACTGGCGTCTCGTGTCGGTTAGATCTTTACGCATACTTTCAATGTAACCTTCGTCTGGCAAAGAATAAAAAGAATTTAAAAAAATATTCAAGATTTTTTTATTCGAAATGTTTCACTTACTCTCTTTAGCCTTACGCATGGTATCCTGCAGTTCACTATTCAACGATTCCATTTTGTCATCCTTCAAACGTATGTCCATTTTTAATTCATCACTTAGCCGTTGTAAATTATCCCGTTCTTCTTTGAGGGCATTCATTTGGATTTCTTGTTTTCGTATACATTCTTCAAGTTTGATTCTGGAAAGAACAAAAGGGGAAATAATTATTAGAGGATTGTAGTTTTTGAGGTTATGTGCTTAGTTTTGTTTACTTTTGTTCTTCTTCTCGGGTACGCAGCGCCACCAATTCATCTTTTAGCTGGGCAATGGCGTTACGTTGTTTTTCATCACGGGCATTGTGTTCTCTCTTTGCCCGCTCTAAGGCATCTTGTTCCGTTTTCAATTCTCTTGCAACAGCTTCTAATTTCTCCTGTACGGCTTGTTTGTCACGATGAGCTGGAAGGAAGATTAATAGGAATTGGGATCGTTAGATGAAGTAGAGTAATGACAAAAATAGTTTCGGAACTTTTGATCTTGAAGTGCGAATATCGGAATGAAGGAACGAAATCGTAACACCCTGTAGATTGGGAAATTCACAGAACGCATTCTGTGAATGAATTTGGGCTTGAATAAAGAATTCCGACTTCCGTATAAGATTATTATTGATAAGTAAATTTCAGAAAAGTTGGATAGCACAAATCACATATCGACATGCCTACAGACAAATGTTGCTACAGAGTGTAATGAGAACCTAACGGAGTTATGAGGTAAAAGGGCCATAGAATACAAAGAATGCACCCTGGAAGACGTATTTAATAATGTTAATACCTTTGCTATAAAAAATGGTTTAGTTGTGGTTTAAAATTCGTTTTCGAAAATTCGTATTCTAATTATTCGAAAAGTACTAACTAGTACTAAATATAGTACCAATGGTCTTGGGTAAACTCTAAAATATTGAATTTTGATCATTGTTGGTGTTCAGTGCTGTGAAAAGAGGGAGGTTCTGAAAATTGGTACTAAAAGTGTACATCAAGTACAAAGTGGTACTAAATTTAGTACAAATAAAGGGATTAAATGGTTTAAAAAATGCATACCATAAGTGTGATGATTGCTATGCGGAGTTATGAGATATATAATACTCTCGTACTCTAATTATACGAAAATTACTAACTAGTACTAAATTTAATACCAATGGTTATGGGTAGAAGTCTTCATAGACCCACTGAATGGTGTCTTTATAGGCGGACTGAAGGAAGACGAGCTGAAGGGAGTCTCTATAGACGAGCTGAAGGGAGTCTTTATAGACGAGCTGAAGGGAGTCTTTATAGACGAGCTGAAGGGAGTCTTTATGAAGGGAGTCTTTATAGACGAGCGGAACGGAGTCTCTATAGCCGAGCTGAAGGGAGTCTTTATAGACGAGCTGAAGGGAGTCTTTATAGACGAGCTGAAGGGAGTCTTTATAGACGAGCTGAAGGGAGTCTTTATAGACGAGCTGAAGGGAGTCTTTATAGACGAGCTGAAGGGAGTCTTTATAGACGAGCTGAAAGTCTTTATAGACGAGCTGAAGGGAGTCTTTATAGACGAGCTGAAGGGAGTCTTTATAGACGAGCTGAAGGGAGTCTTTATAGACGAGCTGAAGGGAGTCTTTATAGACGAGCTGAAGGGAGTCTTTATAGACGAGCTGAAGGGAGTCTTTATAGACGAGCTGAAGGGAGTCTTTATAGACGAGCTGAAGGGAGTCTTTATAGACGAGCTCTTTATAGACGAGCTGAAGGGAGTCTTTATAGACGAGCTGAAGGGAGTCTTTATAGACGAGCTGAAGGGAGTCTTTATAGACGAGCTGAAGGGAGTCTTTATAGACGAGCTGAAGGGAGTCTTTATAGACGAGCTGAAGGGAGTCTTTATAGACGAGCTGAAGGGAGTCTTTATATATACGAGCTGAAGGGAGTCTTTATAGACGAGCTGAAGGGAGTCTTTATATATACGAGCTGAAGGGAGTCTTTATAGACGAGCTGAAGGGAGTCTTTATAGACGAGCTGAAGGGAGTCTTTATATATACGAGCTGAAGGGAGTCTTTATAGACGAGCTGAAGGGAGTCTTTGTAGACGAGCTGAAGGGAGTCTTTATAGACGAGCTGAAGGGAGTCTTTATAGACGAGCTGAAGGGAGTCTTTAAAGTCGTACTGAAGAGAAAATCTCTATAGTTAGTATAAAGAACTGTATAGGGGTGATGTATATAGATTCGGATTCCATAGCATTTCTAAGTGGTATCTCTTAGAAGTGCTGGAAGGACCTCTAAAAGCAAATTCTCACCTATCAACAATGCCTGCTGTTTCTCATTCTCCGCTCGAATTAAGGCCTCTTCATGTTGCTGCACCAAACTTTCCAAATGGGCCTGTAATCCCTCCAAGCGTTCCTGTTGTTTTTCAATTTCATCATCTTTTGCCGTTTGGAGGGCCTGCAAAGCTTGTTGCATTCTCTTTTCCAGAGCACTACGTAATTGAAGCATATCATCAGCATGTTTCTTAGCAGCCTCTTCAGCATTTAATTTCAGATTACTGAGTTTTTGATTGTAATCATTTTCTGCTTCACGGGCAGCATTCAAAAGCTGTGTTTTCGTGTCTTGGGCACGACGTTGACATTGATCCAATTCTTTTTGCAGACGAGCGGCGTTATTTTTCATCGATTCCTCTCTGACCAACGCATCTTGCAGCTCTTTTTCCAATTGGGCACGTTTTTCTTCTGTGGCTTCCAGATTGGTATTGGTATCGAAGAGAACCGCATCGAGGGATTCCTTTTCGGAACGCAAGGCAGCCAACATTTCCTGGGGAAGGAGTGAATGTTATTAGATTATAGATTCTTTGAATGTGATTGATTCGAAACTTACCTGTAAACGATGTGTTTCCTTTTCGTGCAGATCAATCACCACCTGTTTCTCCTCAACATCCTTGACCATTTCCTCAAGATTACGATTCAAACGATTATTTGTCTCACTGGTCTGTTCCAATCTTTGACGTGTGCGCATTAGTTCCTCATTAAGCGATTCCTTTTTACGACACATCGCTGTCAATTGATTGTGTATGTCACCACGATCACGAGTTATACAAGCCAAGTCCTGGAGAATTTTTTCCTTTTCCATTTGCAGACATTTGACTTTTTCACTAAAACCCAAATTATCGGTTTCCAGCTCCAAACGTAGTTTATCCAAATTGCTAAGCTCTTTGCGTACCTCAGCCAGTTCGTTGTTTTGCTCATGCAATTGTTGTGATAATTTTTTACGTTCCTCCTGGACCTCAGTCAGGGTAGTTTGTATATTCTTAAGTTCATCACTGGCTGAGGAATTATTGGAGGATGCTTTTTCCAAACGTTCTTGTAAATCACATTTCTCCAGCAGAATTTTATCGAGATCATATTCTAAATCGGATTTTTGTTTTTCCAGGAGGTTAATTAAATTTTCCGATTCAATACGTTGCTGTTCGAGTAGATCACGATTTAGGCTGACACGATTCAGTTCTTCACGCAGCGATATGGTTTCTTCACGCAGGCGGCTACCACGATCTTCTTCGGCTCTGAATAAAAATAGAAAAATTTTAGAAGGGAAAATGAAGGGAACTGATAGAAGTGGAATTGAAGGGAGTTTAAAAAGGCGAGCTGAAGGATGAAGTCTTTATACGAATGACAATGTGAAGTGAGTATTTATAGACGAACTGAAGGGAGTCTTTATTGACGAACTGAAGGAAGTCTTTATAGACGAACTGAAGGGAGTCTTTATAATCGGATTGAAGGGCGTATTTTTAGACGAACTTAGGGAAGTCTTTTTAGACAAACTGAAGGGAACAGATGAACACATTTGAGAAGGAGTCTGTCAAAGTGGGTCTGGCAGTAAATGGCGAGAAGACCAAGCTGATGGTATTAACGCGTAAGTTGTTAGATGCTACAATGGTCAAAGTAAGCAATCAAAACTTGCCAGACCAAACATACACCCTACAAGACGCTGATACTACCTGTGCTGTTGTATGGATCATGGTTACTTGCGCAAGCGGATGACTCACCTCTTGAGTATTTTAGAGAAAAATTCTTCAAAAAAATCGTCCCATAGATTTGCTTTGACGTTCCATATACCACATATTTGCAGAGATTCACGTAGAAGGGAAAGGCCACGAATTCGATTAAAAGATCTAGTGGAAGACAACATCTCGGAGTATGGACTTTCAAACTCGAAGAAGACCGACGCGCCTGAAATAATTTTTTAAGCTCGGCTAATGGAACAAATCTTCTGTCACAAGCCAGCTAAGTACGTAAGTAAGGTAAGAGGCGGGTGAATTCAGTCTGTAAAGCCAAGCTGAAGGTAAATTTTATAGGCGAACAGAAAAGAGTCTATTGATATACTCGAATAACTTCTTCCGATTGCATTTAAAAATATTTTTCCGAATACTTTTTTGAAAGATTGGCTTTTATACGAAGACTTCATCAGAAGATTTAATGGCTTTCTATGAGAAAATCTATTGGGCTTCTATTAGAGTTGGGTAGTTCCGGAACGAACTAGTTCATTGGAACTATTCCAATAAAGGAACCATATGAACTAGGTTCCTTGTTCGTTTATTTGATCTCTAGATATTTGAAGGAACTTTTTAAAAAGGAATTAGAAAGATCGATCCGCTCCGTGAATTAGATTGTCCAACTTCTACATAAAATACCAAAATACTTCTTGATATTTTATAGGAACTGTAAACTTACCTCAAATTCAACTCGGTGATATTTTTATCCTTTAGAATTCTTTGGATTTCCAATTCCACCGCCTTCTTATCCTCCTCAAGGGCATCGATTTTCTTTTGCAGTTTACCATAATTGAATTGCAGTTTTTCAAAATCTGCACTCAGATTTTCAAACTAAAAATAGAAAAAACAACAACATCATCATCTCATAATTTTCCAAAAAAATATTTCTAACACCCCACTTACCGCATTATTTATTTCGGCTTTACCCTGTTCCGATTGTTGTTTTTGTTCTCGGATCTCATCGAGCGTCTTCTGCAAACTATCGCGTTCTTTCAGCAATTCTGAAAGTTTTGAATTGCTTGCATCCAACTTTTCGGTTAATTGTTGTATTTTAGTTGTCAGCAGTGCTTTGGTCCCTTCACTGGTATCCAATTGTGTTTTGGTGGCCGTCAGATTCTCTTGGGTGTTTTGATATTTCACCTGCATATCGTGGAGAGCCAATTGGTATTTGTGTAGGGCAGCCTGCACCGCGGAGATGGTACCCTCAGCAAAGGCTTGAGAGGCTCTAGCCGATGAACGTCCCGGCGATTTAGCCCTAGATGATGCACCGCCACCACCACTGTCACGTGACAAGTGCATATGTTGCATATCGCCACCCGGAGTTGCTGCCTCCGCCTGCTCTCGATCCGCAATCTCGGCGTCTAATACCACAGCTTGAGCTATTTCTCGTATCGAACTATTCAGACGATCAATTTCATCATTGTAACGTGATGCCAACATTGCCTGTGATTCCGCCTGGGCACAACGATCTTCCAGCTTTTTCAATTGATTCATTAGCTCAAGTAGGCGTTGATCGCGTTCCATGACTTCATGGCGAGCAGATTCATGTTGAACTTTTAAAGTGGCTAATTGATTTTGTAGCTCATCATTTTCGCGTTTAGCTAGAGCCAGTTGTTCATCAAGTTGCCGTTTAGCTTGTTGATGATTGAAGGCCACGTTGTTACAGGTGGCATTGATGTCCTTAACGGCACCGTTTACCTCCATACCCATTTTGGTGACTTCGTTACGCATTGCTGTTTGCATATCTTTAAAGGCACGCTTGACCGCAACAATTTCACGCCACATTTTCAATAGGCGATTGTGTTCGCTGTTGTAATAGTCTTTGAAAGCCTGCGGGATAAAAATAAACAAAAAGGGGAAAAAGAAGAAAATATAGATCAGATAGGAAAATAATTTAAAGGAAAAGGTAGCACCACTAAGGTCTTCAAAAATATTTAAAGGGTCTTGAAAAAATATTAAAAAACAAGCTTGTGGAGTGATTTAAAAATGTTTTTAAAAAAGTCAAGCTTGAAAAAATGTATGTAGGTTCTTAAAAAAAATGCACACTTGAATTTTTTGGAAAATCGAGATGTATGGCGACTTTTTTCCGAATATCTCTACCCACCTGTTCTTCCTCCTTAAACTCATCCTCTTTGACCAACAGTTCATCACGTAAATTCGACCAATCATTGGTCAATTTTTGTAAATCATTGGTCAGTGCTTCATTGGTGCGATTCGATTCGATCAGCTGTTGTCGCAAGGCATTATTTTGAGTCATCAGCTGTTCACATTTTTTATGTTCCTCCTCTAGTTTGCGACACAATTCACCGCTATCTTCATGGACAACAAATTCACGACCCCCTCCACAGGTGGGTGGTGAGGGTGGTGTCTCCAATGAAGATGAACAAGGCTGACTCGAGTGGCCCAAGGTCAATGAAGTGGAACACTGTGGAATACAAACGAAGAAAATAGTATTTTGAGAAACTAAATTTGAAAATGAAAATATATCAAATTTAACTATGTAACACTTGCTGGGAATAGCGAATTACTGAAGAAAGATCTTTCGCAGCAGGCAGATTGAGTAAATTGAATACGAGAGCAATTTCTCTATTTTGGAAATTATTATGAAATTTGACTTCGACTACTTTATTAAATTGAATTATTAATTAGCAATTTCAATTTCGATGTAAACCTATCATAACTCACCATAACTTGACTGGACGTGGGACCGGTGGTAATTTTTGGTGCCGCTGCTGGACATGGTGTCGGTGGTTTAATAGTTTCCTGCATACGCTCTTCCAAATCGTTACAACGCTGACGATATTGTTGTATCTTCGATTGTAAACGACTCACCAGAGTGGTTTGATTCTGTTGAGCCTGCTTATAGGTATCCAAACGACGTCGATAGCTATTCGCCTCCTCGGCTAAACGTTGTCGCAGCTCTTGATTTTGCCGTAATAGGGCCGAAGTGCCCATATCTTCTGACGGTGTTGGACTTAACATTCTGGGCGTAGTTGCAGCTCCGTTTATCGAACCTGTTGTGTTATGATCGTTTTTTGTCGCTGTATTCCGACTACTACGATTTGTCTTGGAAAAGGGCAGTCTTGTTGAAGGCGGTCCAGGCTGATCCAGGAGCGATGGACAAGGAGTTTGTTTGAAGTTGTCTCTGTACGCTTGCATCTGTAAGAAAGGGATTAAAGGGTTAGTATTTTATCGACATTAAATTTTGATAGCTGTCCTTGATATTTTTTAAAAAATCCACGCTTGTGAAATGTCCTTAAAATATTAAAAAAAATCGTTTGAAAGGTCCTTAAAATATTTAAAAAAAATCAGTGCTTATGAAAGGTCATGAAAAATATTAAAAAAAAAAATCCACTCTTATGAAATATTTTTAAAAAATATGTTTACAAAACCCACGCTTATGAAATGTACTTGAAAATATATATTTTTTTAAATCCATAAAATATTTTTTATAAAAAATCAACGGCTCTGGAAAAATAATTAAAACAATGTTCACGATAGTGAAAGGTCCTTCAATAAACAAAGTACAGGTCGCATTTTTGATTCGAATTGGATGAAATTTGGCACAACTCATTTATTTGGCCCAAGGACGAACCCTATTAAAATTGGGAAAAATCGGTTCAGATTTATATATAGCTCCCATATATATATTCGTCCGATTTAATATAAATGGTGCGCCAAAGTCCCTGTATATCTTTCGATTTGCATGAAATTTGGCATAGCGTACTGACTTGAGTCGACCGATTTAATGTAAATGCTCGTGAAAATAGGTTCAGATTTAGATATAGCTCCCATATATATATATATATATTCGTCCGATTTAATATAAATGGTGCGTCAAAGTCCCTATATATCGATTTGCACGAAATTTGGCATAGCGTACTGATTTGAGTCTAGAATGATGTGTGTACAATTTCTTGAAAATCGGTTCAGACTTATATAGCTCCCATATATATGTTCGACCGATTTAATGTAAATGCTCTCATATACTTTCGCCTGATTTAATTTTAATTTGACATAACGTACTGAATTGAGTCTAGAATGTGTGTAAAGTTTCCTGAAAATTGTCTGATTTTAAGACCGATTGTGTCGTCCGATTTTAAGTAAGACCCAAGGACCCAAAATATATCCATAAGGACAAAACGTGCATAAATTAGTCTAACCTAACCTGTGACAAGTTTCGTTGAAATCCGTTCATATTTGTCTATATAATAGAATGGCGTAATTGCGTGTAGAAGTACATATGTAGCCCATATATATTTCCGACCGACTTCGTGTTAATTGGGCTCGATTTACATAATTGTGTCCCATTGCAACAAACGAATGACATGTTTATGGATTGATCTAAGTCGATTCACATTTAGATAAAGGTCACATATTTTAGTTCATCCAATTTCATATTAATGACCCTTCTGTTAGGATGCATTTTTTAATATACCCGTAGTGGTGAAGGGTATCATCTAGTCGGCCCCGTCCGACTTTACTACTTTCCTTACTGGTTTTAAAAATCAATGCCTATGGAGGGTCCTTAAAAATATTTTTTTAATGAATTTAATATTAAAAATAAAATTGATTCCTTCTCAAATTTACCTTTCCAATTAACTTATTTAGCCGAAACCCACAAATTCACCCAGCAACTGCCAGCAATTTTCACTTCCGTTGAACAAACAACAACAACAACCACAAAAATAGTAATAACTTTGAAACTTACAATTGCTGCTGCTGTTGTTGTATGGTAAAACTTTGCCGCCAGTATGGAATGACGACGACTTGTTATTAGATTTCAATAATTTTGCAAATATGAAATGTGTAACAGGACGATGTAGATTTGTTTGGTTGTTTGTTTGCTATTATGGCGTTACCACGCTCAACCTCATATACATATTGGGGCTGGAGGTGCAACATAAATATTGGTCTCCATAGAGTTTTTGTTGTTGTTTTTTTTTTCGTACTAATCGACCACAACAACGAACTATAATACAATTCTTCCCCCTCAACCGTAACTACAATTTATTAGTTAGCATTGTATTGAATTCTCAATAAATATTATTATTACAATAACAACAAATAATAACAATACAACAACATCAATAAATAATATGCAGCAAATATGCATAGCAAAAAATGAACGAAATATGATTTTTCTTCGATTTCCGCTTGATGAAATGGAAATAGATTTTATGTTGTCGTAACACGCATTACACCGTCTGTTACCGTGTTCTCGTCATCAGAATATCCTCAACTCCCCCCGTTTTTGTGTTCTTGTAAATGATTTACTGCTGCAGGAGGGTTATGGAAAAATATGCTGTTGTTGATTTTATTAATTCGTGCAAAATTACAAAAAAGCGAGAGTCATAATGTTGTTGTAGCATAAAAACGCAACTCATACTACTGCTAGGTTTCCTAGTTATATCATAACAACATGCATACATATACATGAATACATTTATTTTATTATATTTCAAATAATAAACAATCTATTTATGAGTTATTATTAATAAGAAACGGCAGTGAAATAAATCTATTAATCAGAAATAGTTACTATCGAATATTGAATAAGTTGAACGAACTGCTTATGTGGATTGTCAACATCCGTTTTAGGAGGGTCGAAGTAATTATTTTCTATACAACAATCTTGTGACAATATTATACATTAGGGTGGTACCAGCAGTGTTAGGCCACAAAAAATTCGTCATAAATTCGTTTTACACTCCAGCGAGTGACATATGTAGACTAGCTGAATCTATCTAGTAATGCGAGTCCGCACGACCATAAAAAACCATAAAAAAACAAATCGTAATAATGTGGTCCTCTCTTTCTCAATCGATTTACGAAAATTATTAGAGTTTATTGCTGAAAGGATCTCGAAAATATATATTTTAATAAAAAATCCTCCATTATGAAAAGTCTCCTCGAAACATACTTAAAAATCCGCTTAGTTATTGTCTTTGAAAAATATATATTTTTTTAAATTACACGCTTAGGTATTATTCAAAAAAGGTTCTAATAAAATGGCATTTGGAAACATTATTTAATACTAAATAATTTGAAAAAGACTGGTTTGAAAAATATTAAAGGTCTGTAAAAAATAGTTTTTTAAAAATCCAAGCCAATTAAAGGTCTGTAAAAAATAGTTTTTTATCAATGTCTAATATTAGGTTGGGGAAAAATCAATCCTTTTTTATATGAACTATAGGACTTTATTTGACATGCTTTGGAATGTCCGATTTGGGCCAAATTTGTTGTATTATTTTGTTGCCATTTTAAAGGTAACTTCATAATGCATCTCTCATAGAAGTCCTGCTCTCTTTTTGCAAAAAACTCGAATACTCGATTTTCACAATCCTTCCTAGATACAATATTTTTATCAGCAATGCAAGAAAAATATGATAATCGCTTGCGGCCAAGTCCGGACTGTATGAAGAATGCATTAAAACTTCCCAACCAAGCTCCCGAAGTTTTTGGCGAGTCACTGTAGATAAGCGTGTGCCTTAGCGTTGTCCTGGTGGAACGCGGCACCTCTCCTGTTGGCCAATTCTGGCCGTTCCTGGTCAATTGCTACCTTCAAACGGTCCAGTTGTTGACAGTAGAGATCGAATTTAGCGTTTGGCCATGACCAAATGCATAGCGGAACCTTCCTGGCCGTTAGTCCTAGTTTGGTCACCATTTGAGGTGAAGCACCGCTCTTTGACCATGATCGTTTTCGCACAGAGTTATCGTATGTGATATATTTCTCTATCTCATTCCGTTGGGCAAAGGTCTTCGCAGATGGAAATTCGATCGATCCTATTTTTTTCTGTTTTTTGGTGTGTGAATCCAGCTTTGTGTAAATAGTTTAAAACAGGTTTATGGTCGATTTTTAGCTCCTGGTCGATGTTTGAAATTTGAAATGGGTTTCTTGAAATCAAATCGAACGTCACTGTTTCTGACGCATTCAGAACATAAACCGTGTTTTTTCAAGCTCAGATGTGCCAATTTGGCTTGTTATTATCGTAGCCAAGAACCCTTTTGAAATTAATATGAATAGGTCAATCGGATATATATTCGCTATATTTCATATAAATGTGGTTCAAATGACCTATGACTGATCAGCATACAATTTGGCATATAAAAAGTCTATGTCGATTCTGTCATGCTATATGTACGCATTTCAGAAAACGAAATACTTCAAATTGGTTCAAAATCGTTGAATCTCTGTTTTCTTTTCATATACCATATAAATGCATAAATATAATGCCTTGTAAATAGAGAAATTTGTTATGTGGCGCCCAACATGCAATATCCGTTTTCAATAGTTATTTAGGAGCAGTCCTATTCTCAATTTAAAATGATCGACCCTCTTTGAAACAATGAGGTTAGAATAGCAATAAATCGGCTGTAGATTAATTAAGCAGCAGGTGTCGATGGGTTACCAGCCGAACTATTCAAGACTGGTGGTCAGATGCTGGTAAAAAGCATGCACCAGTTCATTAGTACAATTTGGCTAGAGAAATGCATGCCCAATGATTGGAACCTCAGAACCTTTGTGCCGTGCACAAATAAGGAGATAAGACTATATGTGGCAACTATAGAGGAGTAAGTCTCCTTACCAGCGCAGCGAGCTGTGTGAACGACTGAAGCCAATGGCCAATGTGAACCACACCAATGAGGCTGTAGACCTGGCAAATCCACCATAGACTACATTTTCATGGAAAAGACACTAGAAAAACATTCTACATATTCCACCTATTCGTCGACTATAAATCCGCCTTCGACAGCCCAATCCGCTAGAGGTGTTTAAAATCATGTCTGCGTTCGACATTCCTGCAATATTAATACTGCTGTGCAGGATAACTTTAACTGGTACTAGATCAGCAGTTAAAGTTGGAAAGTACCTCTCGGAGACCTTCAAAATTGAACGAGGATTCAGACAGTTTGTGTTCTGACCTGCTGGAAAAGGTCATACGAGAGGGAAAGTTGAACAGAAATGACACTATGTACATCTAACAACACATTTTACCCGACTACGCGGTTGACTTCGACATAATTGGTCGAATATTGCGAGCGGTAACAGCCACCTTTGAACAAATTAAGAAGGAATCTGCCAAAGTGGATCTAGCAGTAAATGACGAGAAGAACAAGCTGATGATATCAACGCTCAAGACGTCCCGAAGACTCGG